TACATAGAGAATACTGTAAATGATATGAAAAAACTAAAATTTGGCCAAATAATTTTTATTTTTTCTGACTTTATTTTAAGAAATATAAAAAATCTAATGAAACTTTTCCATTGGCACTTTTTAGGCACTACCGGATGTTTGATTTAAATGTTGTGCTCGACGGTTCGTTTTTGTGGCACCACTCTCAACTTTATTTTTTTATAAGGTCCGAAATAAAACATGACATACATGTCAGCGAGTATTCTTCTTATTATTGTGTATTGTTAATACTCCTTTATTATCGTCAAAGATGCCAGGCGGTCATTTTAGCAAAGAAGAAAAGTTCGACATGCTGATGTGCTACATTTTGTGCTACAAAAATACTGCAGAAATGTATCTTGATAAATTTCCCGAAAGAAGGCAGCCAAGTAAGACCATTTTCTTAGAGTTGGCTCGAAACTTAAATGAATATGGTTCATTCAAAAAGCCTGTTACGCCTCAAAAATAGGAATCGTTAGAGGAAACTCAGAATAGTGTTTTACAAGCAGTTGCTAAGAACTCTGAGATATTAACTAGGCAAATTAAGAAAAATATAGTAGGCAAATCCACAACCCAATTTATTATGCGTAATCGCCATATAAATTTAGGATTTGCCAAGGACTTAGACCAGAGAATAGCGAACGGCGCGAGAATTTTTGTGAATCGTACATACGAACGTGTGAAGAAGACTTTAATCTCCTTTAAAAAATAATATGGTCCGACAAGATTATGGTCACTAATAATGGCATTTTTAATCGCCACAACACTTACTATTGGGCTCAAGAAAAACTGCAGACTAAAAAAGTATCCAGACTTGATGTCTGATTAAATCCAAAAACGTTCTTGATTAACGTTTTTGGGTTTAAAATATGGTGTGACATTCTATTGATCAAAATATTAGGTTCATTTATTTACCACAGCTCATTAACTACAGAATGGTACCTTCAATTGTTGCAACATGATCTAGAAGACTGCCTGGATAGTTTATGTTTGGCACAGGTTGGTTTCCACAAGACGGTGCTCCTGCACGTAAGTCTAGACTAATTTAACCTAAGCTGTACCTCCCACAGGTACCGAGATCCACATGCATAAGATCCTTATTTTGGAAACCCTGTATACAGACAGAGAGCTAGGGGCCTACAGCTGAAAATGCATCAAGCCAGAGCGAAATCTGGAGCCCTACTTTTCGTTGGGGAAAATTAAAGAGCAGGAGGGTACATTTTTTTTATTTCATTCAATTTTTGGGCATTTGGGGGCACTTATCAAGCCTGAGTACTGGGCATTAGTGCAGTGTGCATATAGGGTAAAGATAGAATAGTAAACAGTAGTAGTAAACAGTTCAAAGTCCTCTCAATAAGTGTGAGTATGACATACACAAATTCGGATGACACTGCTCAGATCAATAGGGTGGTATGTCCTCAGTCAATGGAAAACCATCTCCAACAACTAACAATATAAATGACTTAATGTTAGCTTTTCAACAGATGGTTATCACTATCAAGCTACCAATATTATGTGTTTGATGAATAGAGCTACTGATTACAATATTCTAAAATCAAATAAGCAGATATAGCCAGAGAGGATAAGCCTAACATTAAAACCAATGTTATCTATGAATCATGACCATCAAATGACAGTAATAAATGAACATGAACAATGAACAATATCTGAATATTTCCCCATTATCTCCCTTCCTTTATCTCATACTACCTAAAGAGACCATTATGACTATCAAAAATTATACAAGATAGTATAATTTATGAATGATAAAAAACAGCCAGAGCAGCATTCTCCTAACTACTTTTGATGCAAAATTATAACCACAAACTTCTTGAAAATTAAAGGAAAAATAAAAGGACATTGAAAATTCATATGCCCCATATGTCCCTTTAAAAACAAATGTGCATTGGGGAATATTTAAGGATAAATAATTTTCAATGTCACCTAGACATCATACATACAATCTGCAATGGTAACTTCGACAGCGGAGACTAACTGATTTCTATATCAAAATGATCATGGCACTGTCAAAATAATCATAGCAGATCATAGTTATTTCAATATATAAATTAATTTCAATGGTCAACATTCAGTTACAATCATGTCTAAGGACTCTATTTTGAATTATTTGTGTGGAGCAAAAAAAAATACTCCATACTATGTTGCACTACAATTAATACAATGTAAAACTTAACTTGTTTAAAACTGACAGAAAATAAGATCCTACATGAAAAAAATTCTGTGTCTGAAAAAATTCCTTCAATCTTCTACGAGGGTGGTCCCAGAAGTACCCGACCCAACGAAGAAAACACAAAAATTTTGTAAAAAAATGTACTTATTTTTCAACATAATCTCCTTTGAGCTCTATACACTTTTCCCAGCGATTTTCAATAAGTTCGATACCCTTTTTATAATAAGAACTGTGCTCCTCAAAATAGTCATTAAATGGCGACATCACTTCTTCATCGTTGGAAAATCTTTGACCACTGAGAAATTTTTTCAAGTTTGGAAACAGAAAATAATCCGAGGGGGCTAAATCTGGCGAATAGGGTACATGAGGTAGCAATTCAAACTTTAATTCCTTAATTTTGGCCATTGCAATAACGGATTTGTGAGCTGGTGCATTGTCTTGATGGAACAACACTTTCTTCTTAACCAAATGCGGCCGTTTTTGCTTGACTCCATCGCTCAAACGTTGCAATAAGTTCGCATAATACTCGCCGTTGATAGTTTTACCTATTTCAAGATAGTCAATGAAAATTATCCCACGCGCATCCCAAAAAACCGACGCCATAACTCTGCCTGCAGATGAAACGGTCTTCGCCTTCTTTGGAGCCGGTTGTCCCTTTTGAGTCCATTGTTTTGATTGTTCTTTTGTCTCGGGTGTGAAGTGTTGGACCCATGTTTCATCCATGGTTATGAAACGACGTAAAAATTCTGCTTTGTTGCTGTAAAACTTCTCCAAACACTCAATCGAAACATCCTCACGACACTGTTTTTGCTCCATTGTGAGCAATCGCGGCACCCATCTTGCACACAGCTTTCTCATGTCCAACTTTTCAGATAATATGCTGTCTGCCAGCTCGCGCACTTTCAGTCGACGATCATTCAGTACCGCTTTGTGAATTTTCACCATTTCTGGAGTCGTCACCTCATTTGGTCGACCACTGCGATGCTCATCTTGGCAGCTCATATGGCCTCGTTTAAACTCTGCTACCCAATATTTCACTGTTGTAAACGAAGGAGCAGACTCACCCAGAGTAGAATCCAGGTCAGCTTTTATATTGGTTGGGCTGAGGCCTTTGAAATAAAAGTATTGTACCACATAACAATGATCAATTTGCTCCATTTTCACAAATTCACTGAAAACGTTCAGTATTGACGGCTGCCAAACAAATACTAAACAACGTGGCGTCTTCAAGCTTGACACATATGCTTTATAGGTTGCATACTTTCTAATACAATGATATTTTTCAAACAACTATCGCCATCTAGGTCAGGTCGGGTACTTCTGGGACCACCCTCGTATGTGGATTTGAAACCCCTCCCCCAGCCTTCTCTGTATCCCCCTGTAGCCCCATGGGTGTTTAGGCATTAGGCCTTCATGGTGGTTGGAGTATAAAAAGAATAAAATGGGAAAATCCAGACCCTACACCTAAAAAAAATTCACGAAATTCTACTGCATGTACCATTGACTCCTTTGAAATTGACTGAAAAATAACCAAGAACAAAGCTGGCCATTTTGAAAAAAAATAATTGGGAAAAATCTGCATGTTTTTGAATATCAAAAAAAAAATATCCATCCATATTGCTTTACCTGCACTATAACTACATGGTTACTCAGAAAAACACCACAACATTCCTATGGTGGAAAGTATATAAAAAAAATCTCTTCATCAATGTCAAATATCGCCAACTTCAGCATATTTCTAAACTACAATTAGACAAAAATTTTCATATAGATTTCACTCCAAATATTCAAACCAATTTTCCTCTAGGAGTAAACTGATAAAAATTTCTGAAAATAGGTGATTCTTGTGGAATGGACATCTTACTGAAAAATGCAATAAATGTTTCAAAAAAGTCAGTGACATAGATAATTATTTTTTCTTCTCTAGGCATGAACATTTTTGTATGTATTGGCTAAGATGTTGTGTGTGCTACCATTGGTACACATAAAAAATTTGAAATCAATGTTTAAATGTTTATTGCTTTTAAAAAATATAGTCCTATAGATTTTCATAAATATTAAATGTATGTATGCATTTATGCTGATTTTCTCATCAAAAACTTATTTACATACAGTTGATTCTAAAGGGTCAAATGTGTACTCTGCATTTATTGTTCATAGAAAACTTGTATTCGTAACATTGCTTTCTCAGGGACCTATATAAAGATTGTGTTGTACAAATGGCATAGCATAACATAGAATTCATTAAATTTTCTTATAAAACTGTAGACTATAGAATGTTTTATTTTTTATCTGATGGCATTCAAATGGCTTCTTTGAATCACAATATTTCCAAACAAAAGAAAAAATCGCAGTAAGCTCGGAATCCAGTAAATATTTACGGCAGAAAAATCATGGTAAGGAAGTAAAAAGTGTTACAAATCAAACACCGCTTATTTTTGGACAATAACATAAATAGAGTAGTTTCTGCAGAATGTGCTAAGACGCAAATGTCAATAAACGGCCGACATATTTAGTACGAATAGTACCGATTTTTACAAGAGAACAAAGAAAAATTCGAAAATATACATTCTAGATAAACATCTAAGGTCCACAATAGTATTCTCTTACTTCACCATGCGATTAAACCGAAAATTCGCTGGATTCATCACTGATTACCCACACATTTGCTCAGAAATCAACTTGACATTTCCCCCAACATCAGCTGTTTTCTATCAAAGGACTGCACGTTACGAAATACGTGATTTCTCGCAAGACAAAAGTGTTCTGATCATAAATATTACTTACTTACCTCCAATTTGTTTCGTCCTGCATAAATCATAGTAGTTAAAACCCGAAAACCGGAGGGAAACACTTCAATTTCCCAATAGCGACTTCACAAACACACCAATGCGATAGATGAATGATCTCTGGCTGTTGGACAACGTCCTTCGGTCAAACCTGGCTGCACCAATAAGAATGCTGGGATTTGTTTATTGGCTTCCCGATTGGTTGCCGTACATTCTAAACAAAAACAGTCTGCTTCCATGTTGTGCTGAATCCGCGCGGTTGCCGGATTCAATGTATAGCATAGGATTTGCTTATTTTCTGATGGCATCTCCATCGTAAACCCATGGGGTTTAAGGAAGATTGATAAATGCTGAATGTGCTATATTTCAGCTGAATTAGGTTGGGTCATTATCAATTAGTCTTAGTACAAAGCCGCGCGGCAAATTTCTGTATTTTATCAATCTGTCCAGAATGAACAACATCCAGAGCTGCGTTCGTAAATTATTACAGAGTAGAACAAAGTAGAGTCTACCTTAGCGTTCGTAATTGTTTGACGTACCTGCTACATGCGTTCGGAAATAGAACAAGGTAATCCTTCTGGATCGTCAAAAGTGTGATTTTCTTCCCGAGCTCAAAACCTTGGGAATCAGAGTTCTGTCACTTTTCATTGTCATGGTTTATTATTTTTTATTGTATTTTATTATCAACAACTGTTCAAAATTGGCAGAATATATATTTTTCATGATAAACGCTACCTTGTATCCCTAAGGTCTCTTATAATACTCGTAACTACAATAGTCGCAGAAAATTTGGTTAGAAATTAGTCAGCTGTCATCACATGACTCTGTAATAATTTAGGCTTTCTAAAAATAGAGTTTAATCTGTCAATCTACATTTCATTACTGTGTACGGTATTAAAATGCTAAGTGATTTACAAACGCACCCAAATAAGGACAATATGGCTCCTTGTGATGTTTTTCGCGCTGGGTTTGTAGGTGCACAGAAATTCAATTTCATGGGCTTCACTCCAAACGGCTTTATGGATTTTAACATATGTTGTTGGATTCATCTTATCCGTGCGAATTTTGAATATAAATTCCAACATAAATTTCTAATTCGCGTGCTACAGCTCAAACGGCTTGAAGAATTTTGATATTTGAGGCGTCTGGCGTTGTCAATGGCCCGTCCGACCAAAATGGCTTCAAAAAAAAAAACGGCTTGATGAAGTTTGGCATACGAGATGTCTATAGATTTGTCTTAATAATGTGAGTGACACTGGGTCTTTGGGTATTACATGATTGTATACAATCAAAATGGCAAATTTTAAAAATTTCCATTTGACAGCCTGTGGCTTAATAGATTTTGACATTTGATATCATAACTAAAGCTTCTTTCTTTTCAGTTACTGCAGTCGGGTTCTTTGTATTTTTTTAAGTATATTGCTTTAACATACTTTCTTTCCAATCTAGTATATTATATGCTGTTAGAATAATTTTAGTTTCTAGTACTTGTTCTAAGAATACCACCAAATATCTTAGTAACATAAATTCATATATTTTCCACATTTTCACTTATGCTTACAACGACCTATTGCCACAACCCTATAAAGTACAACATGAAGCATGTTCTGTGGCTTTCATGCTCACAGAACTCCATGATTTTCCGGTCAAATGAAACCACATTCTCTTTCGTACACATTACTTCGTCAGTGATATTTGGATTTCTCTGTATGTCTTCCAAGTGACAGTGCATTTGTTTTTCATTGCCTTTGCTATACCAATGCTATGTTATAGTCGATCTGTTTTCGGTAGGTTTGTGCGAAATTTTTCGGTAGACATAAAGAAAAAACTTGCCACAGATTAAAAATTGAAGAAGGGCGCTTGGTTGTGCTCCAGTTGGTTTTAAGGGTTGAAGATCGGAAAGTAGGGAGGTTGTTAGCATCAAAGCATTGAAAAGAGTGCAGGCTTGCACGACATCGAAAATTGAGGAGCTGCACTATTCTTTGATCACTGTCAAAAATATACTATTTATATATTAAATTTTTTTCAGTAGATTTCGCAGTACAATCGGTAGATCGATAGAATGGGATTAAAATCGGCAGATCTACCAAAAAATCGCTAACACTAATCAAATTCAAGCGGATAACCAAATGGAAATGGTATTTACCATTTTGGGTTGGTATTTACCAATCCGTTCAAGCGAGTGTAGTTATAAGTTTGGTTATAAGATCCGTGACGTCACGAATCAGCTGTTATATGTCATAGTTATCACCGCAAAATTGTGGTATTTACCCAACTCAAGAGTAGTTTTATATTTCTGGTTATTATTTGAAATGTGACAAGTTAGAATTTTGCCGGGTATTGGATATTGTTATTGTACTTCAGCTTCATTTTTGAGAAAAATGATACAGGCTGACTTCAGTTTTACCATAAAGTGGAGCACCTTATTAGTTATACTCATTACGGTTGTTGGGGACACTTTAAATGTAGTTCCTATGCTTAACAAAGTATCCTGTGTAGCCATATACCACAAGAATATTATGGCCATATAAACTCACTAGATGATATCCACCTGTATACGGTTTTGCTAATTTCTTTTTTCATCATTTCTGCTGAATCAATAAATGTTTTCTTTGACATGCGGAAAAATTTAGCGAATTGAAAGTTATCATAGCGACAAAGCCATGGGTCCATCGTTAAAAAAAAATCTGAAAAAACATTTCTCCCATGAATATTATGAAAGGTTTCTTATTTAAACTTTCCATATACAGTTATAGACGAAAAAGCACCGATTATTAAGTGATAATAAAAATAATCAGAGATTATATACGCGCTTTTCTAAAATAAACAACTTGCAACAAAACCGCGGTTAAAACCAACGCGTTCAAGCGATTCGTGTAACTGACGTCATCAACCCGTGTGTCATCTTGAACCATATTATAACCGCGGCACATAACACAGAAATTTTGGTTATTCGCTTGGATTTGATTAATGAGTGCGTGGCGACAACAGCCTGAACCCTGAACGGTTCTGTACCACGGCGAGATACTGTGAAGCCATCATTACAATTTTAAATCGACACCGCTTGAACACAGCAAAGCTCAGGATCGCGTGTGGTAGGCATTTCCCCATATTGCCTAACACTCAACCGGTATATGTCGCGTTCTAGAAGGGTTTTTGGATTCTCGGAGAACGTTTGGCGTTTCCGGAAAGACGAGCCAGGGTATCAGTTACATCCAAAACAACAGCTGACCTCATGCTCGCTTGGTGTTTACAAAAGAAAAAACAAATGAACTGGCCACCTGGAAGGCAGATAAATATAAAATATATTGTCATTTTCATTATCTATATTTTGAAAAAGGTCACCGAAAAAGTAATTTATACGTATATGGGTTCGTTTAATCAGAAAATCATCAGATATACATATGTATATTTTGGTTAATAGTATGAATTTTTAACTAATGTCGAGATAATTAATTACAAAAGCAAACAACGTTACTTCAACAATTTGATTCAGTCTTCTCTCATCTCATCCAGACTTGCAAAAGAAAATGTTCTCGGTTTTTTAGCCGTTTTATGACTATCGCCAAAAAATGTAAACGAATACTATATAGTTGTCGTCTACTTTATACAGGGTCCGTCAGAAAGAACGCATGTTTTTCGAATGGTATTACATCGAGTGGGCTGGTCCCGTGTCGGTGGGGAAGGGCGTGTTGGATAATGGGAGAAGTGCCGTTTCAGTTGGCGAGATGGTTTGGAACGTTGAGCATCGTGTGTCCACTGTACGTCGGTACTTTCAAAATGGCGAGACTGTTGTTCGAATTCATCGTGAGTTTTGCGTTCACTTTCGTGTTCCTCGTCGTGGAACAGTACCAGACCGTAACACCATTTTGAGATGGGTGGAAGCATTTAACACAACAGGCAATGTGATGAAGAAAAAACCGCCAGCACAAAACCGTACTGCTAGAGCCCCCGAAAACGTAGACAGATTGAGAGTTGGCCGAATCGTTCCGTCCGTTTGCGTGCCAGTTCCCTAGGGATCCACGCGTCCTCTGTACGTCGCATCTTGAAGAAGGATTTAGTGTTCCATCCTGACAAAAATCCAAGTTTGTCAACAACTGTTGCCAGGGGGTTACGTGTTAATTTCACACAGCTTATGATTGAACAATTGGATACAATGACATGCCGTTGTTTTTGAGTGATGAAGAAAATTTTCATTTACATGGATACGTCAATAAACAAAATTGTCGATACTGATCTCCAGTGAACCCGCTACAGTTGCATGAGCACCCCCTGCATACCCAGAAAGTTACAGTATGGTATGCAGTAAACCCAACGATGATTATTGGCCTTATTTTTTTGAGGATGATGGAGAAACAACTACTGTGAATTCAGAACGTTACATCCACATGCTGAACAACTTTTTTCCGGAACTTTGACGTCGACGTGTCCGTCTCAGAACAGTGTGGTTCCCACAAGACGGGGCAACATCTCACACAGCTCGCACTTCGATGGAACTTCTTCGGCAAAAATTCCCAGGACGTCTCATTTTAAGTCATGGAAATATATCATGCCCCCCTCGCTTCCCGTACCTGTGAACGTGATTTTTTTATGGGGCTACCTGAAATCAGAAGTTTACCAAAACAAGCCTCGGACCCTCGTCGATATGAAGGAGAAAATAAGAAGAGAAGTAACCCAAATTCCTGCATGGATGCTGGCCGACGCAGTGGGCTCATTTCGGGAGGCGCTTGATTCCTGCATTTCGGCTCATATGGCCGACATAGTTCTTAGAACGTAAATTTTGTTTTACTCAAAAAAATGGCATGTATTTCTGAGTATTTTGATATAATAAAATATTTGTCCCATACTTATTTTGACTGTATTACTCATCTAAAAAACATGCCTTCATTCTGACGGACCCTGTATGTATAGAGTGACCAGAGCATTAAAAAATACGCGATAAAGTCCTACTTCTGGAGAATCTGCCTTTGCATATGCAAGATATGCTCAATGCGATCAGCTGTGAGCGAGAACACCTTTAAGCATTGAAATCTTGAAAATTATTTATGGGATCATGTTGTTTAACTAATTTAACCGAAGCATTAAAAAGGCTTTCTACAAAAAATACAGACATAGAACTGAAAATAAGCGAACATGTCCATATTAATACTGACGTGTCCATCTATCGAAGAAAGAAACCAAATCCAAACGGCGAGGTTGCACGCACCGCGGCGTCACCTCCCACTCCACCTTCCTGGTTTGGCATTGGTCGTGTATATGGGCTCCAATAACAGCTATGCTTGCCCTTTTTCGGAGTATACCAACGTGCTGATGACGCTCTGAACACAGTAGGGGTATTTGTATCTTGAAACGTGACATTATGTCGTTTTTTTGACATTATATAGGTTTTTTGAGGCATTATGTAGGTGTTTATAAAGGATGTCAACTTAGCACTTGCTGTTGTACGCTTGTTGTCTACTCGTTCCGTAACTGTACGTGTTGTAGTTAGTTAGTTAGATAGTTCTCGTATCAATGTTTGGCTCTGATGTGATCTAACATCTACAGATATGGCATTATTGGAGGCCTAAGCTGTATGTTGTATACTGTAGCTGGAAGGAAACAGCAGTGCATAGGTACACAGTGAGGATTTGTGTGCTAATAATATTGGTTTCTTGTCTCAACTACACTTACTTGAGATGTATGCAAAGCTAAAAATTAGTTGTACATTAAAACTAACAGGTGAGAAAATATCGTACATGCAGGAATATTTATGTATAGTAAAAATGTTATTACATTTTACGTTAATTGTAATGCTTGTCAAAGTTTTTGAAAACGCAAAAACGGAGAAAATCGTAAAAACTTTGAACATAACCTCTCTTCAGAAAAGATAACACAAATAACCCGTCTGGCACAGCTGATAGATATATTTCATGGGTAACATATAGAGTAATAATTTTCTCACATGGCAAATATCACTGATTTCATGCATACCAATACACAGAATCTTCCAGATGTGATCTTGCTGCTCTGCTACTCAACCACACATCCTCTCAGTATCCTCTGCAGATTATGTCGGCATTCTGCAACCAACAAAGCACGATGGGGAACTGATTTGCGGTCACTGAGCGTGCAATGTCGTTGAGTCCTTCCTCTATAGATGGATGCTCACAGCCAGCAAACGCGGAATGTACTATTTGCATTCTAGGAATTATCTAGGCAGCAAGTTGACATTTTGTCGTTTTTTGTGACGTTTTATAGGTTTTTTTGTGTAATAGCCCTGCAGGTGTGTATTGGAAGAAAGTTAGCCTCTATCTGGGGATTTTCTCCATCAGGGTGTCGGCAACACTGTAACGCGGAGCGCTCGCGCAAACTCCCGATCCCCGGAGGTGAACGAACATCGAATTCAACGTCCTGGCCACAAAAAGACGCTTTTAATGGCGTCGCCGTCGCGCCAGCCATCGGTACTTGCGGTCGTCGGTCTACCTATATCGTTTGTGTCTGGCCCGTCTGTCTGCTTGTCTGATCCCCCTTCCTCAAAATGAGCACCACCCAGCGCACTTAACTCCCCTGCATTCCCCCTTTCTCCAACGAGTTTCAACTACTAAGAGGCGAATAAACCGAGTATGCGGATATGTCCCAAAAATAAGAAATAAAGTATCTGACTTTTTAGTTTTTATATGTACGACGTCTGTGAATTAAGTAGACTGATTTAAAAAAATATCCAAATATAATTATAATTTTATATTGTCAGCCTCAGAATAACTCCGCTACTGAAATAGCTTTCAGCTGGTCGGTTACTGCCGTTTGAATGATTCCGACTATCCCAAATCAAATGAGTTCCCTTGAGGTGATTTTTCTACTTCGGGAATAGGAAAAAGTCACAAGAACTCAAGTCGGGTGAATAAGGAGGCTGGGGAGCCAAACGAATGTTTTACTGGCCCAAAACTCGTTTATTGACATTGTTATCATGATGCAACACCCAGTTGTTCTTGATATGACGGTGGTGTGAGTCAAATTTAACTCTTCCCCGATCATTCTGACTGTCACCGTCGATTTGAATGCACAAGATCCCAGATTGTGTCGATACTTTCAACGGTTTTTGAAAATGAAGGCCTTCCGCCTCGTGGTTCATCTCTAAACGACTCTCTCCCTTCTGAAGATGCCTTAAATCACCGAAAAACCTGCGCTCTTGACAAAACAATATCTCCGTAGGCCTGTTTAGCAAGAGTTTCCGTTGCACTGTGTCCAAGTCTGAAGCAAAACCTGATAGCACACCGTTGCTTGAAATTGATGTCACTCATTTTTAGAGCACAACTGAAAAACTGTTTCACAAAAAAGATCGCTAAGGACGACCAAATAACTCGAGCGAGTTCAAAGGAGGATGATTAGGGATCTCATGCTCCCCTGTCTCCCCTCTAATCCCGACGCCTCCGGTGTTGCCAGATCGAAAGCTATGTTGCATGTCTCATAACTTAATTTACAGACCTCGTATTTACCAAACAATCAGAACGAGCGACATAAATGTTGAGAGGAATCCATCACATAATACTCCTATACTCAAGCATTTTCCTAATATGCTCTTAATGTTGAAAACTTCGATATGCGAACAAATCTCTTAGCTGTTACAGAACTGAGTATTGAGTCGCTTTGTTTCAAATGTCCCTAAATCCATATTTCAACCAAATTGAGATAGCGGTGTCATTTAATCGCAGAAAGTCTAAATCATGTTTTAGATCCTAAAATACGTTTCAAAACCTGCCAGATCTTCTTCAAAACCGTTGTTTATTTTTTGGGTTGGAGTTTCATGTGTGGACTCCAAGTCGAATTAGTAACAAAACCCGCTAAATCTATAATATTTGAATATGCATTTGAATATCCTACATACCTAAGACACAAAATCGATTGAGTCTAACTATTGTGTTTTGGTGCGCTTTTACATGGCTTTTCACACCACGCGTTAGAGTCCATTTCACATATACTGAAATTTGATGGTCAGTTCAATCAATCAGGGAAGAACATATTGAAATCCAAAACTGTTTAGAGGCGATGCCAAAAGAAATTTCAACATAAATTTAAATAGTGAGACTATAGAAGTTAGTCAAAAAAAAACTTAGGCGTAACTTTAAATGAATGCCTAAATTTTATTCCACATGTAAATAATATCAATAAGAGTTGTTTCGCCTTTTTTCCGTCAATTATATCTGCGAATCTTTGGTAATGTCCAAAATTAGTGATTGTGATCTAGTTTATCTTCCATTTCTCGACTCAATATTTCTCATACGACTTCATAAAGTCCAAAATTCATGTTGTATCATGATCAATGATTTGAAAAAATATGATATCAGCTCTTTTTTCAAAGACATGGAAGCTGAGAGTGAAATACCCATAGACTTTTGCTCTCATCCATTCACCCGTTTTTGAAAATAAGCTAATATCAAGGAGCAATATTCATTCTAGGGACATTCGATTCACGGAAACACTCACAATACCCCTTCACGGGACATCATTCTTTCGAAAATGCTTCACCTACAACGCAGTCATAATTTACAATGATATACCTCGAGCCACAAAATTACTATCATATGACGAATTTGAAAATATATAACACTCACGTTTGTATAACTCTTATAACTGTTACAATGTATACTTTCAAGATGTGAAATATTGAATATCCTTCACTTACTTATATTTTATATATGTACATCATATTTTATACACCTACATTTTGAACTTACTTCTATCTTATCTCAAACGCTTTTATGTTTTAGCATTTTTTTTTTCAGTTTTTTGGGGTTAAGTGGGAGAGTAGCATAATGCTAAACTTCACCCTATAATAAAGACGATTTATTATTATTATTATTAATATCAAATGGAATTAAATGTGATAAGTTGAAAATTGTGGATGAACTACCGTGCAAACATTTTGGAGCCGACTGGCTTTTGCAGTACCTACCGATAAAATTATCGTTGGGCCGCTTTTCCTATCTTAACCGGTACTAGGATGCAATTTTTTTTGAGCATTCCTCGGTAAGGCTTCAATTGCGCTTATGTACTTCGACTCTGAATACTTGACTGCTATCAGGAAGCATCGTGGGGGATTGCGGAGCTTATGAGAAATTCAACTGGATTTCGTAACCATCAGTCTTAGAATTTCGAACAAACCATATCCATCTCTTAGCACGAATTATGAGGAATACAGGGCTGTATGCAATATAAGAATGTGAAATAAATGAACAGAAATTATGTAATATAAATCCTTTATTGTTGCACCTTGACATTGCACGGTGAATGAGGTACAATTTCATCCTCCTCAATATTCACATAACGATTGACGCGTACACCAGTTCCAATATGACCTTTCATTTCGGTAATGTACATTCCAGGCGTTTGGTATATTTCCCCAGGTCCAGCTGCAGCGAACGTCACGTTAAACTCAACCCCAGACCGAGATATGTATGGGTACAAATTCGAGAAAGTTTGGTATACGTAGTTGTCGCGATGTTCTGTGTTCATACCACTACAAACAAGCCAGAGATGAAATTAGTTCTTCAAGTTCAGATGGCGGTAGATGATGCTATTATTAGTTGTTCACTAGCAAATAATTAGATCGCATAGTTTAACCTATTTATGAGGTTTGATTCCTATCCTCAGCACCTAATCCCTTTGCAGATGCTTATTTGACAAGAGTTGTCGACAGTAAAACAAGCGACATATTATAACAAGACAGCTTATAAGAAATAGGATTAAACTTTAGTTAAGAATGAAACTGAAGATAAAATGAGTCCTTGTGTTTCGGGTCCATATTTAGTTGTAGAAGACATATCTCCTACAGTAAAAATTGTAAAGTATGAGAAGGGGATAGTAATTCATAAAAATTGGACGAAACGCTATTATTCATATGCATATATATACATTAGGAGACAGAAACTAGATATTGATACGTGATTAAATGTTTAAAGATCCCTAATTTCTTATCAAATATTCTAAGCTATAATATTCTTTTACTTTCTCTCTCTCTCTCTTCTACTTAAACCTATGTCTTATACTTATTTTCATTTTCATCGTATATCCTATAGCAATTAAGAAATATTTTTTTTTTATATTTTCAGATTGACATAAAACATTCACAGCGAAAGAGAATAATTATCATTTCATTAAAAAGAAATCCGTTTTAAATATCGGAGGAGATGTAATATGGTACGAACACGCTCTATAAATATTTTTATTAGAAGCCATTAGCAATTGTTAGGTATTGCAAGTAATATAGTTCCCGAAAATGCTGCGATAAGCAACTACCTTGCGGTATCCAGCAACAAATATTTAACACAATAAAGTTAACCAAAAACGAATTAAGGTATTTCACTATATAAGTGAGAGTCCAAGTTTACGCACTTATCACAAAGAATATTACCCTTACAGGTCAAACTATTCTGACATTATGTGTTTTCTGGTTCATGAACGAAAAGATTTAAGTTTCATAATAGACAAACACTCAAAGTGAGAAGATCATGTCATCAAGTTATAAAATAATAGTCGTAAATTAATTTATATATTCTGTCTTTTGAGAGATATGCTACCAAAAAGTTTGTTGTTGATATATAAATCTCTAATAGAATCGTTTAGATATGGAATTCTGGTGTGGAGTGGTATGTACAGCAATGTTTTGAAACAATTACTCCAAAATGTATTTTAAAAATAATTTATAAAAAATAAAAAAGATACCCATATTTATTATTCAATGGAGAAGTATTTAATGTTAGATGCCAGATATCATCATTTTGTAAAACACTGAAAATTATACGTCTATGAAAAATACGCTCAGTTTATGAATTTTTTTAAAAAATTACTCAAAGTGACCTGAAAAATATAGTAAGTTTAGATATATTTAATTTACAGATTATTAATTATGTAGCAAATTAATCTTGTTAATATTTATTGAGATAATACATCTGAAATAAAAACAATTTCAAGCACATAAAATTAGCACGTGATTTATGATAATATACTCACCTATAGAAAAAACGAGATAACATCACCTTATTTATAAAATTGTAGGTTTTCTGGAATAAACGAACTACCTATTAAACAAACTTTCAAAATTGTGAGATGTTCTTAAGAATCATTAGGAGAGATTATCCAGTGGCATACCGTTTTATTAGAATAGTGTCTGTATTCACCAGATCTAGCCCGGAGTGATTTCATACTATGTACTTCCAGAATTACAAAAACATTTGCGAGAGGATGTTTTTCGAGGAATGAAGAGGCGATATCTGGCGTAGGCGAGTATTTTTCAGCGGTCGCGCGAAACTTCAACCGGTAGTCTATTGAATGGCTGGTGCACCGCATTGACGTTAGTAGAGATCCAGTAGAAAAATGAAAAACATAAATTAAATGTAGCTTTATTGTGAGGGGTTAAGGGAGAACGAAGTAATCAATCCTCGTATGAGTCTAGCATCATGGGGCTCCCGGAAAGAATTTTGAAAATACTCTGTGAATGCGTCGGAGACAAGACTGGTATCTACTGATTTTACGAGATTCTTGGTAATTTGAAAACATTTTTTGCCGAACTGGAGCTTCAGCAATACAATAATAAAGCTGTTTCAAAGTGACTGATATTGATTGAAATATTTCTGCAATCACAAAAACGCCTTTAGTGTGCGTGAAAAGCAAAAGTACTCGAAAACCTAGACAGCTAGTCTTTTCGAATTACCTAAATTGAATCGTGTATTACTTACAAGTTGGGACATCGTTTTTGGCCCCTTGACAAAAATCTGTTTGGTAATTGATGTTTAAATTGCATCTTATCAAAAACAGACGTATTCCCAGATATAGGTGGTGGCAACATCTTTTTAGATTTCTGAAAAAAAGCATCCAAATATTATTCTCTTGCAAATTACGTATTGAAATATACTACAAGTACCTGATAGATGCCTTTGCAGTTGTAATATGTAGCACAATCTTCCTTACATGTTTCTAGTTGTTCTTCACTGTATGGTACAAAATTCATTTTATTTTCTGTCATATAAATATCCAAATGTTTCCAATAACCTTTTTGGGCCGGTGATATACCAGGCTGCAAAGGTCTCTCCAAACCTGACAACTAAAAAAATAAGAAAACAGATGTTCAATAAAAATTATTTATTATTCTACAGTGTGTTACAACATCGGTTAACGTATTTTCTAAGAAGATGCTCAAACCTATTCATTCTCATTCATTTCACAGAAAATTATATGTAATTTCTTGCAAAATAATAAATTCGAAGTATAACTTATAGAGCGTTGCACTTAATAAAATATATAACTGACAGATTTAAATTGCGCGCCATTTTTAATACACGAATTTGAGTAGATGGCGCCGTAGTAGTTGTTTAAAGCACATGTGTGTCCAATTAATCATGGAGCGCTACACGATCCCACAACGCGTTCGTATTGGTAAAACGTTTCACTTAAATAATGAGTCGATTGTTGCAATAATTTTGAAGTTACGACAAGATTTTGGTCGAAATAATGTGCCCAGTGTCAACACAATTCGTCAGTTGGTGAGGAAATTTGATCAAACAGGTCGGGTAGTGTTCGAACTGTTCGTACTCCGGAAAATATCGAGAGAGTTCGTGAAAGTGTAGTGGAGCGCCCTGAGACGTCTACCAGACATCGTTCTCAAGAGCTGGGTATTTGTCGCACGTCATTGCGCACTATTTAAAAAAAACTTGCATTTGCGGCCATACAAAATTCAGTTAACCCAAGAACTACAGCCCAGTAACTATGAAAGTCGCCGACAATACAGTCCAATATTGCAGCTTAAACCGAAAATAACGATTTTTAACTGCCAACTGATAATGAGCGATATGAACGGATTTGTTAATAAGCAGAATTGTCATATCTGGGCATTAAAGAACCCTCGTGTCATCCATCAACTACCACAACATCCTGGTCGAGTTACAGTTTGGTGCGGTGTTTGGTAGGAGGTGTAATTGGACCTTACTTTTTTGAAGACGCTGCAGGTAATTCTCTTACTCTGGCGAGCGCTACCGTGATATGGTGCAAAACTTTCTGGCTCCTCAAATCCAACAATTTAACCTGCGAAACTTGTCATAAGCTAGGGAAACAATGAATCTTTTGCGAACAATGTTTCCGGGACGTTTAATTTCTCGATATGGTGATGTCAACTGGCCACCAAGGTCACCGGATTTAACGGCTCCGTACTTTCTTTATGGGGATTTTTAAAAAATAGGGTTTATGCCAACAAAACAAATACTGCAGAGCAGCTAAAGAACAATATTACGGAAGCCATTGAAAATATTCCTACCGGATACCTACCAAAAAGTGATAGAAAATGTAATCAAGAGGGCTCAGGTTTGCGCGGCTTCTAGAGGCGGACATTTGTCTGATATTATTTTTCATACATAATTTTTAAGTTTCAATAAAAGATTAAGATTAGAAGAATGGACGTATTTTATTTTATTTCACAAATATTCAAGATACAAACCAGTCGGCCACCCTATACTTGGAAATAAAAAACTAAATCCGAAAATGGAATTTCGAGTTTCCAAAACATCTTCAATTCAATTTAAAGTATTGTTTTGTAAAATGTTGATGAAACCAAGTTGAAATTTTGAGTTTTATCAATAGTCTGCTACAAATAAGATATTTGAATAGATAAAAATATTTAATCAAAAAACTAAAAGAGGTCCAATCAATCTATTTTCTTAATAATTAAGCATCACTCATTGGCTCTTTTGTTCATAGTTGATTTCAATACTCAGCTTAAAAGGTGTTGATTTTCGTAAAAAGAACAAAAAGTGAGAAAAACCTAGGCCGGTCCTGGATCATTCAACTGTCTAGTTACTCCCAGGTAACTTTGTTATCGTGCAATATATATATATATATATATATATATATATATATACAGGGTGACTTTGAAGTTGAGTCATTAATTTTCAGATAATGATTGTAGAATGAAGATAAACCAAAATATGTGTGTAAAAATAAAAAAAAAATAAAAAAAAACTTTTACCTTGTTTTATAAAGTATCATCCCGACAAGTATTTCAGTGCGGACCTGTATTTGATCGTGAGGTCCCCTGTGAGGTCTTAAGTCACCTGATTCACAAGCCCGTTGTACTACATTAACAAAGGCACGAGGGGTTGGTTGCACTCGATTGGGAAACCGATCCGCATAAACATGTGCCATTTTTTATTTCGTTTGAGCCACGCAACACATACCACTATTCACTGACACTAACTGTATACAAATGAATGAGATACCTGTAAAAACATCGTTCCAAATTCTTTCGCTTTTTTGTTTCCGATGCGATGAACCGATACGGCGGATTATATCCATTGTCGCCAAACACGACCACATAATATTGTTATTGAGACAGGGCGGTACTCAAACTTCCAAAGGGCTATAACTTTGTTACTTTAATTTTACCAGGAAAATGGTTAAGGAAAAAAACATTTCTTTTGATCAGATCTACTCACTGTTAAAATAAATGACTCAACTTCGAAGTCACCCTGTATATATATATATATATATATATATATATATATATATATATATATACAGGGTGACTTTGAAGTTGAGTCATTAATTTTCAGATAATGATTGTAGAAGGAAGATAAACCAGAATATGTGTGTAAAAATAAAAAAAAATTAAAAAAAAAAAATTACCTTGTTTTATAAAGTATCCTCCCGACAAGTATTTCAGTGCGGACCTGTATTTGATCGTGAGGTCCCCTGTGAGGTCTTAAGTCACCTGATTCACGAGCCCGTTGTACTACATTAACAAAGGCACGAGGGGTTGGTTGCACTCGATTGGGAAACCGATCCGCATAAACATGTGCCATTTTTTATTTCGTTTGAGTCACGCAACAGAAACTATTCACACGCTAACCGACAGATACTGACTGTATGTATAACTGAACTGAATAAAACACTTAATTGCAAAAACGTTCCAAATTGTTTCGCTTTTTTGTTTCCGATGCGATGAACTGTAAGGCGGATTATATCCGTTGTTGCCAAACACAAGTACATGATATTATTATTGAGACAGGGCGGTACTCAAACTTCCAAAGGGCTATAACTTTGTTACTTTAATTTTACCAGAAAAATGGTAAAGGAAAAAAACATTTCTTTTGATCAGATCTACTCACTGTTAAAATAAATGACTCAACTTCGAAGTCACCCTGTATATATACGTATATAATAAATCACTAAAAGTTGAATTTGGAACTTTTTTATTTCCAGATATGAAAAGGTCTTGATTCATATGTCCATCCAAGTATGAAAGACCATGGTAAATTGAAAGGGGTATAATCTGGTTGAATATGTTAATGTTGTATTGTGTGTATTTTGTAGTTTTCTTACCTCACAACAGCCTGATATGCAAGGAGCATACATCTCACGTCTGTCAGGTTTATATCGGTTTTGTCTGAAGTTGTCTTTCATCTCTGATATTTCAGGGGTCATAGGCTTTGGAGGATTCGCAAACATCTGAAAAATACAAGAAGTTCTACTTACCACTGCAAAAATACCGTTTTTGCTGAAGCGCACTGGAGACACTACCGTTCAAAAGTATTTAAACACCCAATAAACAAGGAAACTGATGGAAGTTATTAAAGAAAACATTACAGTATCTGAATGAAAGTTATTTTCTTAATTCTTAACAACATACAACTACTTATAATCAAAATAATCATATTTTTGACTCATCAATATATCCTCCCTTACTTTTAATTACAGCCTGGCAAATGACGGGTAAACTCGCAACTAATTTTTCTAAAGTGGACGGGGTTATTTTTCGCCATTCGTCTTGTAATATTCTCCAGAAGTGTTCTTGAGATTGTAGGATATTTTCGTACTTGTCTGTCCAGTTCATCCCACGGCAACTCTATCGGATTCAAATCCGGGGATTGCATGACTTTGAAAATATTTTGTTTTTCTTTTGCATCCAAAGCTTGGATGCGGCTTTGGGGTTATTATCATGCTGAAAGACAAACCCCGGACCAATACCACGAGTCCCAGAAGGCACAACATGATTGTGTAGTATGGCTTTGTAACCTTCTTTATTTAGTATTCCCTGTACTCTCATAATATCCCCCAGAGTGTAACCACGAATACAGGCCCAAATCATTATAGAGTCTCCATCGTGCTTGACTACTGAACTGACGGTGCATGATTCTAATGCCGTCTCGTTAGGTCGACGGCGGACAAAAACTATTCTCTTGGAACCAAAAATTTCAAATTTCGATTCACCGCTCTAGAAGACCTTCCCAGTCAGCAAATGTTGTTTGACCCAATTCAGTCTATTTTTAGTAGCTCTGAGGAATCTGCTATTTCGAGTGCAGTGATGCGTCTATTGCGTTTACTTTTCACTATTATGCTTAAGTCTTCAGTGGAAGTTGTAACTCTGGGTCTCCCTCAACGACGACTATTGGATGTTGTGCTTTGAGCCTCAAATTTCTTAATAATGTAGTGTACAGATGACAGTGGTACCTTCTGATGTTTAGAAATTTCTCGAATACTTTTGCTGGATTTATGAAGACCAAAAATAAATCCTTTTACCTCCTCGGAATATTCTTTAGTTTTACCCATTTTGTCCAGAAAAATATAAACGAAAACGCACTTGGTGGACAATCTTGAATTGTTCAAGGTATTAAAGCACGGTTAGTTAATCAAGCGAGACAAGATAACTGAAGTAAACTAAGTTATGGGTTTACGTACAGCACAAATTAAAATAAATCATTGAAAAACAAATCATGAGAAAGAATTCCTATTCAAAAACATAACAATATTATAAAGACAAAGAAATTCCTATTATGGCTAATGATGAGATCCCAACAATAGTAAGAGCAAACTTTTGATTTCAATGACCTTTCAGCGATGTTTGATTTCCATAGTGATGGTTTTCAATAAATAAAGGAAAATAAATATGTACTTACTGAATATTTTTTTTGTTTATGATTTTAAATGGAATAAGTACGTACTGAATAGTTTTTTGTTTGTTATGATTTTAAATGGAAATATGCAGGTGTTCAAATACTTTTGAACGGTAGTGCATATAGTAGGTCTAGCACGACTCTCACAGATAAAAATGTTCACAAATCATAATGCGCAACACGCGTAGTAGCATTGAAGTCACACTGAAGTATGTTGCTAGTACTGTGTTAAATGGTTAAAGATAACAAAAAATCCTGTCAGAAAACTGTATTCACCGATCCAAAAATAGTTTAAGGGTAGATAGATAATTAAAACTATTTGATTGCTTCCAAAATAAACCATTTTTATTGTTTTATATGCAGTATTTTTTTAGTTGATTAAAACTCGCAGGGGAATACTAAAAATAAAGTATTAATGATGAATCAAATCCTAGAACGTTGACTGATCACTACAGGAAAAAACTTACCTTTTCTTGTAGATTCCTGTGGTACCTCACATATTCAGCCGGTGGAGCTCTAGAATACACTTCAATAGGGTCATCTACTTTCGATTTTTTGAAGTAATCATTCGTATACGTTGTTTTAATATCCTCATGTAGAAATATATCTTGCTTCCGAAGATTATCCTTTACCCTTGCCTTAACTCTCTATAAAAATTCGCAGTATCTGAATACTTGAACATATTCGCTATGGTAGTACAAAATACTTACGCAGTCGAAATGTTGTGGAATCTCTGGAATATACCCGTGGTACGTTCCAGTACATGTTCTGTAATCTGTGCTTTTTGTAGCAAGCAGTGGTATTCCGTAGTCTACATGACTGTGGGTATTTTGTGTGCAAATCAATGGAGGCATTTTGTAAAACTACACTGATCAAGCTAACAAAAATATGAGTATTGGGGAACTACGAAATATCGATCAAACTAACCAAAATGTTAATGTGCCATCAACGTCTGTCAGATCTATCAGAAGTGGTGCTTCACCAAGTGTTAAGCCAATAGTTCATAGTGGTCACATTATAGGTCAGTCATTTTAGATTTTATATCGAGAATGTTGTTTTCTCCACCTAGACAAAAATATCATTTCAGTACCAGAAATACACTGTTTGCATCCATTTTTCAACAATGCTGTTTACCCTCATTTTTCGCGATCGTGCGTTGGAAATTTAAAGAGAACTCAGTTGAATCATCTCAAGATAAGGATCCTATGTATGCGGATCTCAATACCTGTTGGAGATACAGCTTAGGTTAAATTAGATGAAAGCTGCATTCTTTGGGGCGTATTTACATGCCGTTGAGAAACTTGTAAAAATTTCATGGCTTACTGAGGTATTTGAGAAAAACTAAAATTTGGCCAAATCGTGTTTATTTTTTCTGACTTCATTCTAAGCAATATCAAAAAACTGATGAAACTTTTCCGTTGCCACTTTTTAGGAACTAGATGATGGTGTTTTTAAATTTTGTGCCCGATGGTTCGTTTTCGAGAAACCATCATCAACTTTTTTTTATATGCTCCGAAAGTACTTCCTGTATCTAATAGCACTTTTATATACAAAATTTATAAACACCATAATGTAGTTCCCTAAAAAGTGCCAACGGAAAAGTTTCGTCAGTTTTTTGATATTTCTTAGAATAAAGTCAGGAAAAAATAAAAATGATTTGGCCAAATTTTAGTTTTTTTTAGGGAAAACAAGCATCCCATATGTCAAATATGAAAATAATGAGAACATAAAAACTGTCTGTTTTTTTTCGCAGCATTGTTATGAAAAGCATAAAAACCATTTCGCTAATCAAAACGTTTTTGTAAATAATTTCATTGTCTAACAGATAACTAACACAAAATTGAAACTATGATTACTCTGAAAATGATGAATTGCCAATCTGTCCATTTTCCATCATTTCTACGCACTTCTTTGCATGAGGATTTATGCGAAGAAAGGCTATTTCTTAGGTTTTGTTTGAAGTATGAATAATCGTATAACTTTTTAATATTCACAGGTTGATTGTCATTGTTTTGTTTGTTCTGTGGTTTTTTGTCATTGTGTATATTCTTCTTCTCCTAGAAGATACATTTAGTAAACCTTTTTTATTTTTTCATTTCATTGCAACATTCACGATTTTTAATTTTTAAATGTATTTTCTTTAACTCTTTTAACACCTGTTCTATATCCCAATAGCCCGAAGAACATAAAAGTACACAGAGTTAACATCAATCCATAGCACTTTGTGGACATGCTGGATATTTTTTTAGTATCTGAGCTGCAATGTGTTTCAGATCTAACTAAAAAACATAGTTTCATCGGGATGAAATAGCGCCACATATAAGTACCTATACTATATATATAATGTATTCAAACCTTATAAGAAACACTGGCGCGCGACGTTCAAATTCGCGCGTTCCTATTGGCCAGCGATCCATAAATGCCTGGGCAGGTAGCGACAAGCGAACAGAAGCAGTTATCGAAAGCTCATGTTTGTTTGAGGTTTCAGTAGACTATAACAGTCGTAGAATATTGGGAAAAATAAGAAACCACTATATAAAAAATATTTTATTATAAAATGTCTTTTAAATATAACTATTTTATAGTGGTAAAGGTAATTAACGAAGTATCATAATCGTTATAGGGGTTGGCTGCAATATTAATCATTTCACATTCTGCTAATAGATTCCACTGCTATACCAAAACAAAATGTTAAAAAAGTCGCTAACGCTCCGACGTTTTCTTTTCTTACATTTTCAGTCGCAAATGTCTCGAACAAATGGCTAAAATGACATGAAATGTTTGAGTACAGACTTTAGTTTTTGCAACGTTGTCTAAACCAATAGGACCAAAACAATTTCAGAGAAAGTTAACTTTTTAGAGACCCGAATAACATGAAACATAAATGTTACCTCTCACAAATGGTTCAAACCCGTCTTTTCTGATGTCTTGTTACAGTATAGCATTGAAAATAGGTATGTTTGGACTGTTACGCACCGTCCTAGCCAAAAGCAACTGGCAACGTCGCAACTACAACCTGACGGTAGCTTTCACACCAAAGAGACGGCAACGCGACCAGTTCAACAATGGTTGCTAGCACTGCCGTCGCTAGTCGGTTTGCAAATGCTAACAAATTGATAAAAATTTCAACTGTGGATACCATTGACACTTCAGCAGGCTGTAAACATGCCGAAGCTGTCGAAAAAAATTAGTATTTTGAAAGAAGTATATATGAATGAAAATACTCAACCGCTAAGTTGCTGGCTCTTGAAAATTGAAAAGCGGTGGACGAGGCTTCTAGCTCCCATAATATACCAAATATCGATTGTTCGATTTGTTGGAGCACTTTATGGGCCTCAGCCTCTAAGGTTAAAAATCACATTAAAATAAACTAATATCTAAATACTCTTCGGGGTCTCATACAGTTTAGAGCAAGGCTTGAACTTGAATTTAGATGACAACCTCAAAAATTGTAATTTTTAGCCGAGTTTTTAAGCATTTAATATGCACATTTTTAGGGTTTTTCAGAAATTACGAGGCATGTTCAATAAGTACACGTGTTTGACGACAGAGGGCGTTCCTGAGGGAAATTGGTCTTATCATCGTGTGCTGCCATATATCAAATGACGACACAACAAATTTCAGACTGATTGATAGGTTCGTTTGGATTTGGCAGCCATTCGCGTAACACGTTTTTCGAGCAGTATCATTCGGTAATTCGCTTTTTGTTTTTGGATGGGAAAAATGCGAGGAGATAAAAGCAAAATTGGATGCTGTTTATGGGGACACTTCGCCATCTATGGCTGATTTAGAGTCACGCTGACCGTTAGCGCCGACAGGCGAAATATATGAAAGTCTAGGAAGCGTTTTAGAATAAGGCGTAGCTGACAGCGCGGACGGTGGTCAGCACCGATTGCTACGCGTGCCCAATGTAGATATAAGTCGAGTCATCGACAAAGTACGCCTGAGAAAGCATTTGTGGGATGCATCTGATGCACTCTCTAGAAATAAGGATGCAAGAAATAAATTCCGAGAGGATATTGTCACCACATTATACGAAAATGTTATGGAGGAAGAAAAACAAAACTTGGTAAGTGTTTTATTTATTTATCTTAGAATACCTACACTATCCGACGAACAAAGCATTTGAGAGTTAAAATATACATGAGTCTTGCCAGGACACCCTACCATTAGGACTCAAAAAATACTCAGCAAAATGTTCTCGCAGAGCGTTGCCAGACCTGTTTGTAGGTACAGTTGCTATTTCCACCATATCCTCAATAATTGTAAGTGTATTTTCAATACGATAACCATCGCGTACTCTTATAAAATTAAGCAATATACAGCAGGCTTTAACTATGTTCTTTGTAACATTAAAATCCACACTAATAGGTGTATGAAACACTCTGAACTTGTTTGAAATTATACCAAATATCGATTCTATATATCGTCCACTACGGCTCAGTCTACGTAAGTTTCATGTTAGTTTGCGCATATGGCTTCATGATTTTGTTATATTATTGTTATATTCCAAAAGCACCATCACCTAGTTCAACTGGAGTAGCTGTTCCATGTAGTGGCTTCGGTCGTGGTATATTCAGAGCAATATTTTCTAAGCTTCTGTATAGTGTACTGTCGTGGAATATAGATGAATCAGTGTTTTTTCCATATGATCCAATGTTTACATTATGTAAAACAATAATCTGCATCGCACATGGCCAGGAGAACTACGCAGTAGAAATTCTTGTAGTTGTCGAACATTAATCCACCACCGTCTGGATTTATCATTCGAATGTGCTTGCCATCGATAGCTCCGATGCAATTTGGAAAGTTGGTCTTCTGTAGGAACCCGTTATCAATTTTTTGCCACATATCAGAGGTTTTTGTTGGTATGCATTCCTCGTGTAGTGTTTCCCATATTACCTATAAAACTTCGTTTACGATTAGACTGATGTTACAATTCCAATCCTGAATGAATAATGCAGATCTGTATATGTCCGACCCGTAGCCAAAAATCTGAAAATAATAAATGTTTTTCTGTTTCAGCAAAACGGATGCATATTTTAACGCTATGAAAAAAACACCTTCTGGAAGTGCTGCACCAAAGTACAAAAAGTGTATCTATTATGATGAACTAAGCTTTCTGACTCAGTCAGATCTGAATGAAGTTGATGAATCTACTGAAAGAAAACACACCATCACCCTAAGCAAATATGGATAATATGGCATTACCGGGGAATATGGTACCTTGAGAAAATACACAATATTCTGATATGCCAACGCATCAAGCTTCTTCAAATACTCTACAGAAAGACCAGAACGGCCATGCTGTTGATTCCAGAACATCACAAAGACCTTGGAGTCAAAAAAGAAAAAACAAGTCACAACAAAAAAAAAACAAGAAAATTCACCGTTTGAAAGGAATTTGTTAACATTACTGAAAAATCAAACACCAGATATTGCCGCTGACGATCTGGCTTTTTTTTCTTCTTTGGATCCAATTTTGAACTCTTCCGATGTTGAACAAAAACTGGAGTTTCGGTCGAGAGTTTTGCGCGATGCCATAGAAGTCAAAAATTACAATTACCGAACAAACAGCTCGCTATCATCCCACTCGAATGATATAAGATCTCCGCTGCAAAATGATCCGTATGGGTCATCATATAATAATACGACTCCAGGTTACTCAGGATATAAAACTGATGATGCTACTCCAGGTTACTTGGGGTATCAAACAGCCAGCAGTAATGACTAATAATAATATGAAAAAAATGTATTTTCCTATGAATATTATACTTTATGATAATTTATATAAATGTTTTTTTCTTACCTTAAGGTCACCGTCAGTCTTTCAATCGGTGGTATACCACACGTCGTAAACTGGAATGGACCAGTGTATTTTCTGTCTTTGCCAGTAATTCGTCGAAAGTTCTAGTCGACATCCGAAAGTAATTGAAGAATTTTGTTTCATCAGTCCTCAAAGTGACGTATAATGTATATATGTATAATTCTCCTGCGACGGCTCTCTGCTCAATCAATGGATGAACATGAAGTCTTCGTCGCCGGTTTGTCCTTCTTTTCAATACGTAGTACAAAGCAGCAATGATTATTGCTCTCAGGATTTTGCGTCTGCGACTGTATTCCGTGGCGATCAGCACGATACTAAATCGTTTCGCGCTGACAAACCACGCGCTGAGCTGTCAGCGCTGACACTAACCAGCCTATGACCAAAGTTAGATATTGGTTCAATGAATTTAAACGTGGTCGAACATCCGTTTTTGATGAGGAGCGTTCAAAAAGTCATCGACATTATTCTCGCTGATCGACGAACGAAACTGCGCGAATTAGCACCTGGGTGTGTCGATCGGAACGGCAATGAATATTTTACATGATAAGCTGGAGATGAAAAAATTGTATGCGCGATTGCTGACTATGGACAACAAGCGGATACGGCTGTCAACTTCGAAGCAGTGTTTGGAGCAAATTAAGCGAAATCCGGAGGAGTTTTTGCGTCGAGTTAGTACCGTTGATGAAACCAGAAACTAAGCATCTGCTCCAAAGAAGGCGAAGGTGGTCTCATCGGCCGGTCATGGCGACGATTTTTTGGGATGCGAACGGCGTCATCCTCATGGATTTTTTTAGAAAGAGGAAGAACGATAACCGGACTACAGTTATTGAACCGCTTCGACAAAACATTGAAGGAGACACGGCCACATTTGGCGAAAATGAAGATACTGTGTTTCACCATGATAACGCACCAGCATACTCATCCGGAGTCGCCGCCAAACTGCATGAAATGCGTTATGAAGTGCTGCCGCAATTTAAATATATTGTTTAAACAAATTTTAACTGGGTTAAAACTCTGCTTAACACGTTCGCTGCCAGACATATTTTTTAACAGGTGTCATAATGGAAAAAGCTAAGAAATTATATGTGCGGCGTATAGCTTCTAGGCCATGTTGGTCCATTTCTGCAGGCGTACATAGGTAAATGAGCGCCAACGGCCCAGCAGCAGAAAATGCGTTGACCCCATGGGACCAACATAGCCTGGTAAGGCAAAATATATGTTGGCCCTATTGGACCAATGTGGCCTGCTGAGGCAACATGAGTGTTGGTCCTATAGGACAAACGTGGCAGTGATCGTGATAATTATAATTTTTTAGGTCGGTAAATATTTAAATTTAAGTTGGCCTCGCCCCACAAAGCTCCGAAGAGTATTTTAAGATAAATTATTTTAAAAATATTTTTTTACCTTGTGTATTAGGCCAAAACTGGCAAACTTTTGATTATTGCAGACTGTACTTCTTCAACGCATGTTTGTAAGCTTTCAAGTAATATTATGAAATACGTTACTTATACGATTTTCTTTGTATTAGTGCTTTTAAGAACCAAAATAGTTTATTTATATTCCACCTTCTCATTAACAAGTGTAGTAGCTTTAACCGCAATCTTAACATGAGACTGTCAGTTACTTGGCAGTTGCTTTAGTCAGTTGAAGTTGGGTTGACATCAGGTAGCTTTTGACGAGAATATAGCTTTACAGGAATGTTACTCCTTAATATTAAGAATCGGAACGTTTCGAGTATAAAACTGACCACCACCATAAAAAACTTAAAAATGCATATCACCAATAAAATTAAAAGGTCGACAAGTATGTTACATATTCAAAACCCGATCACAGATTACCTTCACAACGGCTATAAGTACATGACCATTACAACTCACAGTGACATTAAATTCTAATCTCTTCTCTGGAGCCGCGCCATCGTAGCTGACTGTGATAACGACATCCCTACCCGGCTCTACATTACCTTGTTTAGGATTGACAGTTAAACCAGATGGCGTCGAAGAAACCTCATAGTTGAATTTGCTGCGACCACACGATAGGAATAAACAGTCGCTCCTTTTCTTGGGAACTGTTAGGATTAGAGTGGAAGGTTCTAGTTTTATTGAGGTGGAGACAACTGTTTCGTTCAGGCCTGCAAAAAAGGGGAAGTTATGTAAATATTAGATCATCACTATTATTATTATTATTGATTAACATATTCTACCTGAAAATAGCTAACCTAAAGCTATATTCGCCGTCCAAAAAAACTACCATAGCATCATCTATGAGAATTTTTTACAGCTATGTTCCTCCAATCCATACTAATTGATAATTTACTTTGAAAATGTTAGTGTTTCACAGATGGCAGTTTTGCCAAATATATGCTATATGCTAATATATTCTTGCACTAATATTTGATAGAAGTATACACATTATGGTGTATTACCTGCTGAACTATCATCTTGAAGAAGTGTTTGAAACATTTCAGAGTCATCCAAAAATTGTGGAATTATTGTCTCATCAGGATCCATTTCTATAGTTAAAACTATTTCCTTACGAGTTAGTAATTTTAAAACCTGTAAGAAAGTGTTTTGTAATTAAATGTTTCTTTGGAGCAAATTAATGGATGTACTTAAAAATGGAAAAACCCTTTCCATTTATTGTGATGTCCCATTTGAAAGAACTTGGAATGCATAAAGATCTGATTTAAGATGAATCGCTCATTGCAAAAAACTCGTAAGAAATAAACCAGTTTATTTGAGTTTTAAAAAATTGGAATTTCGCTTAGTAAAATAATGGTAATAATGAAAAAACAGCGAAACATTATTCTGGACTTACATTTTTTTTAGCAGGAATAGAGAATACGCATCTACCTTTAATGAGATGTTTTTCAGTAGTTGGGAAAATGGACTTGAGCAGTTTTTGAAATGATCGATTCAAGTTTTGTAATAATTTTGATTTTTTGAAAGCAATTGTATATTCCCCACTTCGAAGAAACTGCATTTTTAGCGGTCAAAATAGATTTTTCGAGGATGGCGCAATGTATCATTGAAAGAGAACTCGTAGAAATACGATGTACTTCCCACTGAAGGAATAAAGCAATATGATTCAATTTTTATTAAAGATACCAATGGAACATGGCCATATTCTTGTCCTTGTCATGTTAAAGATTATTGTCTTCACATCTGACCGAAAACTGGCCTCCATAGTTGAAAAAACTTCTCGCTCATAAAAACGTGGAAACAATACAGCGAAATTGAAATTTTTTGAGTATTTTTTTAAATATCATCAGACACCAATAATAAACAATCAAATGGCAACATTTATATCCACATCTTTGTTCATTCTCTGTCGTTTTAATTTTCAGTATATGACTTTTTCCTGCCGCACACATTTTAGCGTTTTCAGGTCACTCAATCTGTTTATGATTTGGAATTTTTTAAATTTGATACTAGGAGACCTACGTATCAACGCATACCTCTGCCGTGCGAAGATGAAAAGTGAAGCAGCGCAAGAGTGGGTATTTCTAAAAACTACCATAAATAGCAAACGTTGACATAAACCAAACGAACCTGTTGGATGTTACTCCTATCTTCTTTAAACTTCGCTAAATCTTCTGGCATCACCTCTCCGTTGATTCTCTGCATCAACATATTCGACAAATCATCAATATCCTCATTCCGCGCGATCGACTGTTTACACAACTGACGCAACCTACCCCGCGTTACTTCCTCTCCTGACGTCGCGATCAACGTACCCAAATCCACCACCATGTTGTCCTTCACCAATTTGCTGAACTTTGCTCGGTCTTCACTTGTCTGCCTGTATGTGACAGTTACTTCTTTCTCCTCTTGGGATATGAGGGCGAAGAAGCTCGGCGTAACTGTAACCTACGTTACCACAGTGTTGCAATATTTGATACTATGTGGTGAAAGCGTAACTGAGTCATCAACATTTAGGGTAGTGCTTAAGCAATATTTGTACGATAGACGCTTGTAAATCATTAGCGCATTATTAGACGAAAATACCCCGGGTTTGCGAAATAATTGTAAAGTTTGGTATTACTGATGCAAGTTGTTCAAGGGGGTATTTAAAACATGGACGCATAAAATCGGTACACCATTTTTTGAGGGAAAACTTTTTATTCGACAACAAAGACTGAAAAAACGTTTTTTTAGAATGCAATCGAAAGTGTTGGCAGGAACGAAAAAACTGTTCAAATAAGATTTTGAGGTATTTACTAGACCTACAAAATCAGAACACACAAACAAAATCCTACACTTTTTCATTTTTTCCACTGGGCTCTTTTTAAAAAATCGCTAAGTTCAACAAAAAAGTAAGTATTTCAACCCACCATAAATCTTGTGCAAAAACAAAATTTCAAAAAGTTCCCCAATAGCACCCTGAGCAATTATCTTCTGAACATACTGTATGAATTTCATTCAAAAATATTGAAAAATGGCGTATCAGTTTCGAAGCAGCTGAACCCTTGTAAATGGCTTGAAACTCACTGCGTCGGAGCGGCCTTAAGCTCATGCATTTTTGTTAACCCAGAATACTTAAAATTCGCAGTATAGTAAGAATATATTGTCGTTATAAAACAAATGTTAGATACACATAACACTAACCTTGAATAGATCCTTGGACACTAGTGAGAGATGTATAAATCCAGGAAGAAGTCCAGTATTTTTGACTGAAAACTTCTGAACCATCAGGGAACTATTGTTTAAAGTACCAAGTGATAACCAAAATCTGCCTGACGTATCTCTGGATAAGTTTTTTAAATCTATTTTTGTACTGCCTCCATAGCCCCATAGTTTTATAATTTGGTTACTCATACTTTTCAAGTTGTGATCAATTGGTGTGAAGCTCAACTGGCCCACTGCAGCTCCTTTTAAAAAAATGGGTATATATTCGAGTTAGTCAGACAATCTGAGAATTTAGACTCAAACTGAATAGATAAAACAATATTTGAAGCCAAAACAGAAACCTGATAAAATTTTTTATAGAATGACGATGCAGACATTAGATGCTGAGGAGAAAAATAAAACTTTATTAAAATAAAATTCTTAATGTTTACGTTATTTTTTTCTTTTCCATATAAAAAATGTTCTAGTAAGCCATTTGAAAATCTAAAAAAAAACGCCTACCTGTTCTAGTTGGAATAAATGACACTTTAATAGTTTTAACTTCATGTGGTTGCATGAGCATCTTGAAACTGGTCAATGGCTCACTATCTTGCCTGCTGTCTTTCCGGATTTTATAATTTTGGCCAGATATATTCAACTGCAACCCTAATTTCTTGGAGGACTTGTTCCTAAAATAATAAACTGTTGGTAAAATGGAATTGAACTCCCGTTGAACAAATAAAGCAAAATGAAACCCAAATAAGAAGTGAGAAACATTGAAGAAACAACATTTGAGCCCTTCAAAAATCTTGAGCAAGATTTGAGAATATCTTGGAAAAAGCCATGGACAGACAAAGTGTTGGAAATTGTATGGTTATAGGTTTAAAAAAATAATGAAATCTTAAATTGGTATCAATAATGTTAAATAACATAGTTTTTATGTAGAATCAATTTGATTTTTTTTTGTAAAATCCCAGTAACACCCTATTCTTCCATTCACAGTTATGTTAATGTGATCTTTGTGAGAAATATCATTTCTCAATGCCCCAATTTGTATTCGAAAATTGTAAGATGAACCACCAAAAAAGGACATTTTTGAACCCATTTTTATATGAATTTCTTTCATATCTCAACATGCCTTCAATTTTCTTAACAACATTTTGTATCATCCTGTATTTATATACCATGTAGATGTTATTAATAGTACTTACTGTGTGTACAAACAGCACAATACATCATAACAGTAACTTATGTCACTCTTGAGTCAAACTTTGCTATTACCATTCCAAAGTGCACGATATATATCCTGAAAGAGGCTTCCCACACAATATGGTACTTCAAGTCATGAATTATGATATACTAAATGATATAGAAAATACAACACCGACTATGAGTGCTGCAATTTTGAGCATACTTTTACAAGTTTTAGGTCTACTGATAGAAAGTGATTAAAATGTTAACTCGAAATTTGGCAAAATAGCTGAGATATTCACATTCATTAAGTGGTCGCTGCATTGATTGGATTAGGTGATTGATGTCTTCTTGGTGTACTATATATCAGGCCATCTGAATTTGGTTTTGTAGAGCCTCCAATATTTGTGGAGGCTGCGGTGAATTTTCCAACCTTCTTCTCAACTTGTCCCATACATATTTGATCGGGGAAAGGCCTGGAGATCGAGGCCACTGAAGCACATTTACCCCGGACGCTTCTAAAAAGTCTAAAGTAACACGTGCGACGTGAGGTCGTGCATTTTCCTGCTGAAAAAGTGGCACCCCATACCATAACACCCACAGTGCGATGAATATGCCGTTCGATGGAATATTGGAGGTTCCGTCTTTCTCCATGTCTCCTCCTTGCCATTCTACGGCCATCATGTATGCGCAAACAGAATCTGGACCTATCGCTGAACTCGACTAAGTTCCATTCCAGTCTCTCCCTGCTCCATACCAATCGTAGCCGATGATGCCGTGGGCTCAAGAGGCAGTACAAGATGGGGACGGTATGAAAACAGTCCAATACGCCTTAGAGCATAGAACATGCTGTTTATTATTGGATGTTCCTGTGATTGGGTGCAAACCTGTTGGAATAAAGAGTATTATTATTATTACCTGAGCCTGAACTCCTGCGTATCGCATCTGCCGACTTTGACACAACCCCATATCAACTCAGTTTTATCACTATCAATAGGCAGCCGTCCGCCTGGCAAACTAGTCAGAACACTGGAAGTGCTTCTAGATGGCACTGATGAGCTACTTCTGGAATGTACCGTAGACGCTCGTGATTGGCAACTGCGCGGAGAGCTCGGTAGAGAAGGCTTCGGTGATTTTGGTGTCGAGTGCTCTATTCTTCCTTGCGTTATCGAGCCAGTGATGTTTAGGGTGTTTCTGTTTTCTTTCTCCACTATTGATCTAAGGGCCTCGTTGTCCGAATGGTCCGTGCTGTATGAAGAATTTTTGCTCATGGGTACTGATGGGATCTCTTTGACATAGGTTGATGATGGCCTGTAAAAGATCATCATGTGGCACTTTGAAATACAGCAACGAAACTGTTTCAATCGTATGTTTCGCCCCTAACCGACTTTTAATAGCTACAAGACGAAGAAGCTTTCTTGAAAATACCCCGAGGGCCTGTGGCGACGGAGTTATAAACGTATTTCGAGTTTCTGATCACTTTTGAACGTAGACAAAATCATGCTTTGAAGGAATCGGAGTTTTTGAAAATCTCAGACATTGAATTTGACCTTTTCAACTTTCCGATCTCTAAGGCGTAGATTCAAATTATTTATGTGTAAGTATTTTGAAATAAGATATGTTTCTTGTTTCATCTGCCACTAACGTTGCTTAGCACCCATAAATGTCGCTTGAACCGCAAGTTTAATGTGGGGTATCTAACGACGGCGGAGTGGGACTCCGGAAGGTCTCCGAAGGGAGTGTGTAGGTCTAGTACACAGACGGCTCGGTCACTGAGGAGGGCTTTGACGCCTGAGTCTTTGGGTCTAGAACTGGCTATCTCTGCCTCTGGCTTGCGTATTCCACATTTTGGAGGGAAAGGGACTAGAAGAATAACAATCTTGTCCGACAGCCAGGCACTAAGGGCCTGCGAGATTATTTCGATCCTTGTATTGCAATGCAGGGAGGCTCTAGATGGTCTGGCAGCGAGGCATCCGGTATCGTTAGTGTGGGTACCGGACATACTGGGATAAAGGGCAATGATGTGGCAGACGCTCTTGCGGAAGCCAGCCTTAGTGGTGCACGCGCAAAGAGGTATTACAAAAATAGAGAAGTGGATGGACGCTTTTGCTTATCTTTGGATTGAGCCAACCTAGGGTTGTTGGTGGGACTGTTGTTTGGTCATAACACATACAGGCGTCATCTGCATGTGATGGGGGTGGCTGCGGAGTAGAGGAGAAAGACCTCGACGCATGTTCTGTGCCGCTGTGAAGCTCCGAGCTACTATAGGCAGACTATGCTGGGGTCCATCACTTTGAATGCTCAGAACATTAAGGAGCTAGAACTCAAGGCTATACCCAACTTTGCTAGAAGGGCGGGGCTTGATGTTTAGGGAATATATGGGTGTATAAGGGCCCGTTTAAGTGGCCTATACGCCGGCTCATCATGGTGGCCATTATGCATCTAATTTCATAATTCATTCATTCATTCAACATTGCTTAGGATACCTAAAATTTTAAATAGTTTTATAATAATATGTGGCAATTACTTGGTCAATCCAATTAAATTTTTCCCTTGCACATCTAATAATGTAACATGAAATTGATTTGAGTTTTACAAAAATGGTTTGGTAATAGCGAGTGTTTCCATAAATTTTCGGCAAACATTAACTTTGTGCCGATTGCCATAAATAAAATGCATCTTTTCTGGCGGGTGTGGAAAAATGTAATGGATTATTTTCACAAAATACTAGAGAATTGAAAACATTCAATTTTCTCGGGTTATCTGTATTATCAAACAAAAGAAAAATCCAAAACATTTACTTTTTGAAAATCATTATTTTTGGGATTCCAGTCTTTGATGACGAGTCCGTACGTTTTGAGTGGTCATGAGGTGAAGACCTCGAGATAGTCACCGAAATGTTGTACAGGGACTGACAGTATAGCTATAGTTTCACGGCAAAAATCCTTGCAACCAGAAGGTCTAATAACATATGCTCAAATTTCAGATACCAAAAATTGTGTTATCATAGCATGATAACAGTCAACAAATACCACTCGAAATGCTCAGCGCATCATCGAAATTTTGAATTCCAGAATAGACCACATTAACCTCACTAACAGCCAATATTTAAAATAATGTTCAAAAATGGAATACCTTTTTTTTATAATAAACAGAACATGATAAAGTTGACATTTTATATACTTTTTTTTTGAAAAAATTATATAATACAATATACAGTATAAATTATTTGCTTGAGTCACACTAACCTTGATTTTTTCTCAGTCTTTTTCAAAAGTTTCTCAGCTGCAGTTGCTGGGGTACACTGCATATCTTTGATGACTTCTTGAATCAGGGAAAGTCCGCTAAAATCAGCTTCTAATTTCGTTGACAAATCACTTAACACAGTATGAACTGTTTCATCTATCAAAGGAACAGGGCTAGTCGACTTTGGAGGGCTGGAAGCCCCAGTAAATAATGACATGTTATCAAAATTCTGCTGAAAGTACTCCCCTATTGATACATTCCTTATAGGTGGCTCACTTAACATAGAGATTGCTTCATTTACAGAAACAGGTAGTATTTGATTTTGACGTTTCCATGACAACTCATCAGCCAATAGCATGCTAGCTGCTTGTTCTCCAGGTTTGAAACCAGAGCTATCTTTCTTATAGGTTTTCTTCAATTCAGATCTAGCACTGCTACTACTCAGTCTTGAAGAAGCTCTTGGACTGGTGCTATGACTTTGAGGTGTAGATGTCTCAATGTGTTGTGAAGATCTTGGTGTAGATGTATTCTTGGGTGTTCCCAGCAGATCGCTATCACTGATTGTGCTGTCATTGTATGAAATCGTGTCGATTTTTGAGTAGTTTGGGACGAGGTATTTTGAAGGGATGCCTAGGAAGAATTAGAGCAGACAAAAAAGTTAATTGAAAAACAAGTAACTAAAAGAGGTGAATAGAATAGTATTTGAGGTAGTTAAATTCCAATCACCTGCAAAGAGTGATGCATAATGGGCCTAAATTTGATGTGAAAAATATGTGCCCCTTATGTGTCAAGTTGGTTCAAATTGATGACAGATTCAGACTATACGCATATGATTTACTCAGACAACGAGTCCCCAGTACAGACTGAGATATGCAAGTACTTTCGAAAATATTCTTATTCAAAACCTCAAAAAGTAATATCAATTTCTGTTGTTACGAGAATAATACTTGGTAATACTTGATACAGTAGGTGATTTTGTGTGCTGAATTTAGATACAGTCAAGACAAAATAGAGAGTATTGCAGGACCAAATTTAAGGTACAAAATAGATTGCTTGGAACCCCTTGCGAGTCCTAGCCCTAGCATCAAATTGAGCTTCAATCCAGAATCCACATATTGTTGTCTATGGAACAATGGAATTTTTATTTTTGTGATTCAGTTTGTCACTGTATCATTGTAATGTCACTTGTGTAGAGTTATTGGATTTTAAAACAGCTGTTGGGACTGCTGGGAAAATGAGGTCAACTATGAAAAAAACAGTATTTTCAAGCAACTCATACTCCTACTTTGTCAAGTACCATTTTGTGGAACAGTGAAAAAATTTTGAATGTATCTTTCATTATCGCATGATCTTAGGCTTTAAGCTTCACAAGATTTTGTCAAATGAAAATGCAATATTTAAGAAGGCACTTTGTTTCATGTGTCATTTTAGCTATCTTGCTTGCAACATTGACTATTTATCATGTGAGAACCCACCAATCATCGATAAGCAGGGGTAATACAGAACTGATCCAAAGGACTCCATTAGCTAGCCAAGACGAGCCATATGAATATTTAACTTTATATTTATTGTCGTAGATTGTCACTTGTACTTTAAAAAAGTCATAAATTTAAAAGTGATTTGTTTTATTATCTATCCTTCCACTAGACAATAGAGAATTATCAAACCAAGTTCAAAGAGTTGTTAAAAAGATTGTGATAAGAATGAAGCTAACTTTCTGAACAAGTGCTATTTACACAAAAAATTGTTTGTTACTACTTTTTCTGTTACTGTATGCATTTGTGTTCTCAGTTCATAGATGCTGATCCCATTTTAGATATGGTGTAAAAAGAAACAAAAAGTACCTGTAGCCGAGGCACGTTGCAAAGAACTTCTAGCCAATTCTCTCTGCTGCTCTAGATCACTAGCTGTGCTACTACGGCTACTGAATACAAAACTTCCCCCATTGAGCCCCTTCAAGTTGACTCCCTGGACCTGAAGGAGCTGTAATGAGTCTTCTATGTTAAGCGTAGCTCGTCTGTTGGAATAATCTGGAGCAGGTTGTTGAAATGGACTTGTACCACCTGCAGACACTCTTCTGTCCCCCATCTGGAAGCACTGTTTAAAACAACAGATTTTGTCCATTTTTTTTAATACTTACATTATGAAATTACCTATGAACGTTTGAAAGAACGATCGGTTACAGCGCAACTTTTTTTTGTGTCCTGCGTTTATGTTTTTGTTGAGTTTTTTCGTGTGTTTGTATAGATTTCCAGTTTTTGTTCAAATCAGACAATTTGAATACATTGTGTAACCGCCATTAGTGCCAAAGTCAAACGTCGTTTTTGACAGTGTTAGTGACAGCTGACAAAGAAGTTATAAACTGGTTATAAAAATAGAATGCCAACTTGAGCGAAACGATTACAGCGCCGTGGAAGTATATTCTTCAAGCCAAGCAATTTTTAGAAATATCAAATTGTGATGTTATGATCCAGGAAATATATCGATACCATGTATCACTTCGTATCGCTTTAGGAAGGTTCGATACTTTGAACAAAATAATGTTTACTTTTTCACACTGCTCGATTAGATTGTCAAATATGTACGTTCGCTAATATAAATGCACTGTTTGTCATGTGTGTGTAATTCCCGAAACCGAATCCAACAGGGTTTCCAGGTCGTTTAGCTCAGTTTCCCCAGTAGAAATGTAAAAAAAAATCCCCCAAAAATAACATTTATTTTTTGTTACCATATGTTTACGATTTGTTACGCATTCTTGGATCTTGAAATATTTTTTTGTACGACATATTTTTTGTATGTCGCTAAATACCCCAAAAGTTAAAAGTATTTGTTTCGAATCGAAAGACAAAAAAATTTTACATAATAATACCTCCCCAGTTAAATGTTTCCCCAAAACAAATCCACAAATATGGCCACCAGCGGAAGGAAACATGACAAGTAATCTGGAAGTAGTCGCTCTTTCTGACACAGTGCGGATCGAAAGAACTATACTCGTGAAATGTATCGATACACTCAAGTATAGTGTATAAAAACATCGATTCAAAATATCAGATAACGGACGCAAAAGTATCGATACTTCTAAATATCGGATCGTATCGAACATCCCTAATATCAAATATATGAGTAAACCCGGAACCTTCATTTTTACAGTTGTAATCACAAAACATAGGGTTGTAATTTTAATATTTAATTTAATTACTGCAAGACGATTAGATTTCTGCAGGTACATGCAGATACAGAAGATCCAGACTATTTTAAGAAAATTCTGTGGACTGATGAATCGAAGTTTGATAAGGACGGGATCACTACCTACCATAATGCTCATTCGTCTCAGAGCCGGTTTTCAGTCAATGTGTGGATGGGCATCATTGATGGATATTTAATATTATAATTTTGGCTTGGGGGGAGTTATTAATAATAATTACAAAAAGGTTGAGGTAATCCAAAAATTAATTCTAAAATTGATCCTCCATAGGGAGATTACTTATTCAAGTGATTTTCTATATGTGGAGGCTCAACTATTAGATTGCAGACAAATTTATTTTTATTGTGGTCTAATACATTATTTCAAATATTCAAAATACTTTAATCGTACCATTCATAACTACCCAACAAGATTCAATCAAAATTCAATGTGTATTCCACAAACATCAAAAACCATTACACAACGATCTCTGTTTTTCTTGGGACCAAAATTCTATAACTTCATAAAAGAGTCATTAAAAGTAATTAAATCATTTAAAAAACAACTAAAAAAATGGATTTTACAACAACCAAGGTAGCTACTCCATCCACGAAATTGTAGATCTGAAAAATCATTATCAAAATCAATAATATTTTACTTACACTAACATCCATACTTTTACTTCAGTTCTAATTGTCTGGATATTTTTCCTGACATTACCATAATAATTTACCAAAGTATACAGTATTAACGGGTTTTTACTTTTTTTTTCATACACTGACTGTGCTATTAGTTTTTATTTTGTACAAACCCAAACACAAGTGCAAACTTTTTTTGGGTGCTTTATGTTTACTGTGCACAATATTTGATATTTACTTGTATTTTGTGACAATAAACATTATTATTATTATTATTAATTGGACCTCATTTTCTGCCCGCCAATTTAAATGGAGAAGTGTATGAAGAGTTCTTGAAAAATCACTTGTTTCCATTAATGGAAGACGTCCCATTGGCGACGAGACAAAATTTGCGGTTCCAGCACGATGGCTGTCCCGCACACTACAGTAGATTAGTACGGGCGTATTTAGACTCTAAATTTCCAAATCAATGGATTTGCAGAGGCGGGCCCATTGCCTGGCCAGCAAGAAGCCCAGATCTCACACCGATGGATTACTATGTGTGGGGACATGTGAAAAACCTGGTGTACGTTTCGCCCGTACCAATGCGCGATTAATTAATTACAAGGATAATCAGTGCAGCTGACCAAATAAAAAGCTGCTTAACCAAGTTACCAAAAGTGAATTACGAGAAAGAGAATGCGGGCGTGTATTCGTAACAGGGGATTACAATTTGAGCAGAATCTGTAATATACTACAGGAAATGTAATTAAATAAAACTGTAATTAAAATAAAAGCCTTTTATTTATCCTACATAATTATCGAACATACAACTTTACTCATCTTTTTTTAATTTTATGTCTTTGTACTTGAGTTAGTTGTAACGCTGTACGTAAAAAGAAGGTGGTAGACAAGGACCAGTCGACCGAGGCGGTACCACCCGCTAGCTTTTCCCAAGGTGTCTTATAAATGTCCGCATGTTTCCACACCTAAGCTATGCAGTCGGTTATCTTCCAAAACAAAGAAATTAATATAGATGGATCCCTCGAGCACTAAGAACTCCGGACGTAAACTCACTCCACTCTCGGAATGTCCGGGTGGAGGGTGGGCTCGAGGGAACAACATCGAAGATAAAATTTGTTTTTCGAACATCTGCGGGATTAACAGCAACATTGATTCTGTTCATCACTACCTGTAATCCAATCGTCCCGCCGTGCTTTTCTTGGCGGAGACAAAAATCTCAGAGACTGCACCGATTAACCATCTCAACTTCCCAAACTGCGAGGTGCACTCCAATCTGAGAAAGAACGGGGGAGTTGTGGCTTTTGTCCGCAGCAGTCTTTCCTGCTCCAGGGATCTTTCTTTGGAATCATACCGGAAGGACATTCTGTGGCTTCGCCTCAACTCCAAAACATCACCCAAATTTATTTCCTGACTTTATCGCTCTCCCTCGAACCATAACTGGGATGACCTACTCGAATACCTCGCCGTCCAGATCGACTTCCTGAACATCAATCACCCCGCTTCAGAGGTAGTCCTTCTCGGTGATTTCAATGTCCATAATGAGCTCTGGTTGGGCTCAAATAAGACCGATGCAGCAGGTCGTGCAGTCGAAGCGTTCGCTCTTACCAAAGGGCTGACCCAGCTGGTGACGAGCCCTACTTTTTTCCCCCGCGTCTCGTCACACGCCAGTAGCCTGCTGGATCTCTTTCTGACCACGCATCCTGTCCCTTACACGGTTTCCGGCACCAACGATCCACAGGGGACCTCCTAGCTTACGTCACGCAACTGTGGAGTAAACTCATTCAGTCTCATGGTGAGGCTCATGTCGTTGCTCTTGACATCACGAAAGCGTTCGACCAGCTGTGGCACGCTGACCTCTTAAGCAAACTTCCATCCTATGGCCTCCCAGAAAAGCTTTGCAGATGGGTGACTGACTTTATCTCTGGCCGCAAGATATCCGTCGTAATTGACGGATTCTCCTCTTCACCCCACAACGTCAACGCGGGTATTCCCCAGGAATCGGTCTTGGCTCCAACACTGTTTCTCTTACATATCAACGACCTCCTTTCCTGCACGATCAACCCAATCCACAGCTTCGCTGATGACAGCACTCTACATGCAGGAATTCAGAGTGACAAGCCGATCTCTGCCGCTGAGCTGGAAAAAAGAAGACTAGCGACGACTTCTTCTCTGACAAGAGACTTAGAGGCTATCACTGCTTGGGGACGCAACAATCTTGTACAATTCAACGCTTCCAAAACACAGTACTGTACTTTGACGAACAAAAAGCGTCCTCGCGCTCATACAGTTTCGATGGACGTCCGAGTTCATTCATTTCGGCTGGTCGGAGTCCAGATCACCGAGGACCTGATCTGGCACGAACACATCTCGTCAATAGCTGCAGCAGCTTCTGTATAGGACAAAATCGGTTGCTTTTGACCTAATCTATCACTCCTTAACAGGAATACGTGACATTACAAGTCACCCTGTATAATAAAAAAAAACTATACAAAAATTACTTTTTATTCAACAAGGCTTTCAATATCACAGTACACTTTGACATTTCAGCTCTATTTTTACTTTCTTTGGCTATAGCACCAAGTAGTGCTTTGAACACTTTGCTCTTCCCCGCATGGTATTGTTTAACAATTCTTTCATTTTCTTTAATCACCTGTTCACACAGTTTTCGCAATTCTTCCTCATCTGTTATCTGCAACCAGTTTTTCTCGCGAACAATCTGAAAAAAAATATGGGACAATTTATCTTCTATCACTGATCTTAGACAAAATATATATATTTTGTATGCCTGAGCCTATAACACTCGACAAAATATTCGAGATGAATATGGAAACAACTGCAGAGTTAGAAGGAGCATAAAACAGGTATTATGCGCCACCAGCACTTGACGCTCAAATCTGCCATTTTTTTTTTCTCAAGAAAATGGTGTATATTGCAGTATCTTGGTCTTGCTAGACTTGAATCCTGAGACGGGGCCCGCCCGCATTTGCTCTCCGAAGCGCTGTAAACAACTGCAACCGCCAGCCTCCCGCGTTCTTCATTTCTTTAATTACCGGACCCTCCACACAGCTGCAGCGTTACTATATTCATTTTATGTTCAAAAAAAGCTCAAGGCGGGCTTAGCGCGTTAAAATAAGCAACTAAGTCTGAATGAAACATGTACCTTTTCTGGTGCTCCACTATTATTTAAAACAACGTCTTCCAATAATAGCTTAGCTGTACTTCTTGTGATACTCCCTTTCTCCAATAGTTCAACAATTTCAGAAAAATAATGCCTCGGACACTTACTGCAAGATTTGTCCATTATTCCAAACATTTATACAAAAAGGTACACTTACATTCCCTCAGACACCATGTCATTCTTATTCAACAACGTATTGAGATCATTTATGAGAAAATTGGCCATAACTTTTTTGTTTACGTTTCTCTCACCTACTGCATCTTTGTAAATGGCCAGCAGTGAGACGTCATTCTGAAAAATGAGCTTCCAGTTTTAACTGCTCAGATAAAATGGACCGCGTTATGCATAGTTTGAACGGCAGGGGTATTATGTAAAAACCCAAAAAACGTGAAAAAACGACCAAATGTCATCTTTCAGACTAGTAGTTTTTAGTGTGCAAATAGTTCATTCTCTGATTTTATACACATGCAGGTTTATACACACAATCAAAAGATAATCCAGATGCGATCTACAGACTATCTCGGCATTCTGCAACCAACAAAGCACGGTGGCATATCGTATTTGTACACTAGCAGCTATCTGGTCAGCAAGTTCACATTTTGTCGTTTTTTTGGACATTACATAATAGGTTGTTACGTAATAACCTTACCGAACCACTTGATAAATGTTCAGGCTTTGCTGCCTTCTGATGCGCAATAGTTCAATTTACTTACAAAAAAAAACAGGCAACGTAGAGACCTGATATTCAAGAGCAAGAATATAAGTTTAGTGCCAAACGTATCATTTGTTGTTTTTGATTTTGCAACACTTGACCAAACGACCAGATTTTATGTAGTGTTAGCATTATTTCCACATAATGCTGTTACATTATGGTCTAACCAACAACAAGGGTAACAAACAAACAAGAGACCAACAGGTCACCTAATAATGGGTGGGCCATTTAAAAGTTTCGATTTAAAAATAAAATAAAACAAAAACGGTTTGAGATATTGCCAAATTTATTTTTTTGTTTTGAAGTACAATTGTTCCGCTCAGAAATGAAATATTACTTCATTCAAATGGCTGCCGCGGCTGGCCTCACAGTAGCCCATTCGATCGGACCAATTTTCGAGCACTTTTTCGAGTGTTTGGGGCCGTATCTCGTCAATGGCATCACGAATGTTGGCCTTCAAATGGTCAATTGTCTCTGGATGGTCGACATAACACTTGTCTTTAACAGCGCCCCACAGGAAATAGTCCAATGGTGTCAAATCGCAGCTTCTTGGCGGCCAATTGACATCACCATTTCGACTGATTAAACGGCCATCGAAGGTTTCGCGCAATAAGTTGATTGTGGCATGCGATGTGTGACAAGTTGCACCATCCTGCTGAAACCAAACATTCTCCACATCAATACCATCAAGAGCAGGAACAAAAAAATCAGTTATCATGGTGCGATAGGTGTTTCCATTGACAGAAACGGTTGCGCCGTCCCCGTCTTCAAAGAAATATGGGCCAATGATGCCTCCGCTCCACAATCCACACCAAACAGTCACTCGCAAGGGATGCATTGGCTTCTCTAAGACCTCGTGTGGGTTTTCCGAGCCCCAGATACGGCAATTTTGCTTATTGACGTAGCCACCAATATGAAAATGAGCTTCGTCTGAAAAGATTATTTTTTTCGCAAAATCGACATCATTGATTAGTTGCTCGTTGGCCCATGTAGCGAAGGCAGAACGAAGTGGATGGTCACGCGGCTTCAACTCTTGAACCAATTGAACTTTGTAAGGCGTCATACCGAGATCTTTCCGCAAAATTCGTCGTAAACTGGTGCGGGAAATGTTCAATTCTTGGGAACGATGACGTGTTGACGTTGATGGATTTTCACGCACACTCGCAGCCACAGCATCGATACCTTCGGGTGTACGCACTGTACGAGCACGCTGACGTGTTGGAGCATCAACAATGAAACCAGTTTCACGCACTTTATTAATAAACTTGCGTATACCGGGCGCTGTTGGTGCTTCGTTGCGACCGAATTTTGAACGGCATTTTCGTGCAATTTCTGCCCAATTGTCTTTGTTTTGGAAATAAATTTCCAATATTACCCAACGTTGCTCAAGCGTAAATCGATTCATTTCGTTCAGCGGAGATAATATACTGAATTTTATGACAAATCAGATTGACATAAGTATTGTCAGCGTCAAATTAACACGTGGTTCAAATCGAAACCGATAGATGGCCCACCCTGTACAAATTGTACCATAGGCGAGAACGCAAAGAAAGTGAGGATATGACCAAGATATCGGTGTGCGCAGCCTTCAAGTATTTGAAAGACACTATACTGAACATTCTTTAAAATGCTTTAATAATGGAACTTACTCATGTACTACCTTGACAATATTTGAGTTACGAATCCGGTTTTAAGATTTATCCCCTTTAGCGCGACAAAATTAATCTTAAATTTTAGGAGCAAGTCCGGGTATGGGGGACTGACGCAGTTGCCAGATGGACAGTACTAAGGGTATGGCAAGGATAGACCATCGATATTCGTGTTTTGCCACTCATCAGCATGCCTTATTTTCTGGGATAACGAACGATAGCATATCAACTATCCTGTATCCAAGGTCTTATTTCGATTTGTGCTGAACACAATGATTTCTGAATTGATGACGGCGTTGCGTGTGAAGTGTAGAGTCAACCTACTTGACGCCAGTTATGTCTTATTTTATTTTTTCCGTACCTACCACTAATATAATTGACTGTTCTAAAGTAAGTCCTTCATCTCTCAGTTTGGCTCTAGTTTGTTCTGGTAACTCAGGAATAGTTTCTCTCAATTTATCTGCATTGACACAACCTATCTCAACGGGGCCCATTGCAATATGAAGTGGGGGAAGATTTGGTTCTGGCATAAATCTGTAATCCTATCGATTATCTATCAGCACGAAAAGCAATATAGTAAAAAGTTGAGTATTTTTAGCATCTAACATGAGTAAAGCATCAGGCCCAATGAGGGGAGGAAATCGATTTATGTTGTGCCGTATGTCAAGCATTTGTCGAATTACATTGCCGTGGGCCTAAAATCGCTTTTCTTTCCCTACGTGAGCGTGCAAGATTAACCTAAAACGATCTCATATGAAAGATGCTAAGCTTAGACTCCCTAAAGCTACATTTTCACGGGGCAAAAAGACGACATCACACATTTTCGTTCACACGGTCACGATTCAGTCCAGTCCTTGAAGCCAATTGAGGAACTTTTGTTTTAAAGTTGTACAGTTGTGAATTCGATTTTTAGTGCAACGTTAGCGCCGAAAAGGTTGAGGAGACACGGGACCAGATGAAAACGGATAGAAAAGCGTTGGCTATCGAAAACCACGTACCATTTTCCTCACTTCCAACTGATGTCGATGCCTGAAAATTGAATGTATTTGATACCGATCGTGAGTGGTTGTGAACTTGCCTTTCTCTCGATGACGAAACAAATTCACGACATCTCGTCCAGGCGATGGCAATTCCACGAATGGCCAGCCACGCTCCGTAAGAACGTAGCTTTAGAGATAATGAAATGCCTCAAAAATGTAATTTTACTGTTTAAAATTGTTGATGATGGTTATAAATGCTTTTCGCATTGCATCAACACATTGTACAACATATTCTACCAGAACATACCCTATCCCATTGAAGGCCAATTCCTGTTCGAAAACAAGCATACGTTTCCTGGCGCACACAACCACTTGTGTTTATCACTCTATACCTGTCAACGACCGTCTTTAGGCGCCATTGGTGCAGATGCCGCAAGTTACTATTTTCTTTTCCGTCGTTGAACAATTCTAAGAATATTTTTTTCTTAGCCCATATCCAATTTCATGGAATAAATGAATACTTCTCACAGTATTTGGCTAAGGAAATGGACATGTATCAATTATTTAAAGCGCAAGATGAATATACGAGTATAGGTCTGATTTAAAAAATATACTTTTCATGCTGAATGCGAAGCGGTGAAATCACTACGACTTTTAAGTTTTGCATATGAAAATAAAACAACACGGTAGGTAGTTTTAAACGAGTTTATTGTTTTTCTAAGTATTCTCCACGAAGATTAATACACATCTGCATGCGCTCGAACTAATTTTCGAAGCACTTATTACACTCGTTTGCTGGCAGACCCAAAACGGCATTTTTGAATGCGTCAACTGCTTCTTCTGGTGACTCGAACCTTTGACCAGCCAGTCTGTTTTTAATTTTCGGGAAAGTAAAGAAATCTTTAGGACTTAGATCGGGTCTATATGGAGGATGGTCCAATAATTCCACGTTTTCTTCCATTAAATACTTTTTTGGGCTGTGTGCGAGCTTGCAGTGTCTTAGTGGAGGATGATTCTTCTTTCGGAGTTGATTTTTCGAAGCTCCGTGATGACTTTTGGCAAACAAATAGTGATATACCAATCCGCAGTAACAGTTCTTTGCTCATTAAGAGGAATTGTTGCAATATGACCCGCTTTTGACACAAATGTCGCGACCATCTTGTTCGAAACACTTCGAGAACGGATGACTTTTGTTGGCGCTTTTCTTCACCTTAGAACACCCAAACAGCCGACTGTCGTTTATTTTCTGGTTCATAACAGAAAATCCACGATTCATCACCACTAACAATGCTGTACACATTTTTTGAGTTTCCGGAATTGAAACTGTCAAGCATTTTTTGACACCAATTAACCCTGTCTCCTTTCTGCTCTTCAGTCAACAGGTGGGGTATTCAACAAGAAACTAATTTTCTTACTCCTAATTCTTCATATAACATTTTTTGAATTGAGGTCTTTGAAATCTTCAAGGACGCCGCAATCTAGCGATATGTCACATGTCTATCTTCAATGATGAGTTTGCGCACAGCATCGACGTTTTCTTGGGTGACTGCCGTTTTTGGTGCACCCACTCTGGGATCGTCGCTAAGACTCACCCGTCCACGTTTGAATTCTCCATACCAACGGAAAATTGTCGACTGGTGTGGCGCTTCGTTGCCAAAAACAGACAGTAACTCAGCAAGGCATTCTTGTTGCGATAATTGTCTCTGAAAGTTGTAATAAATTATGGCGCGAAAATGTTCTCCGTTGAGTTCCATTTTTCTAATGACTTGGTGACACTTAAAAATTCACTGTAGTGAGAACACTGCACGTATTGTTGTAAAACTTTGAATTTAGGTTTACTAAAGAGTGAGGTTAAGATTCAGTACTGACGTTCGATCCGCGCGGCCTACTATGTTTCTATATGCAAAACTTAAAAGACATCCCTCGTATCGGCCATGATGATGACGTCATACAAATTGTAAGCAAAGAAACGTCATCCATATGTAACTCGTGGACTAGAGTTGTCTTGCTTAAACATTTATAAAAAGCTCCTAATCAACGTAAAAAGTTATCCTTTTCTCGTTTTATTGAAAAAAAAAACAATAATGGACTTGGATTATAGTATGTAAGTACAGTGCATCTGATATAATGATAGACATAAAAAGAAAGATTAAGTAATACACCTACATCATATTTCTTTTAAGAAGACATTCAAAACTAAGTTCATGCGTCGTGACATCTGAATAATGTTATCTAATATTGCATTTCTTCTTACACATCTGCAAAGAAATCGTACGGCGATGATGCCGTCCAACTTAAACGAGACGATAAAATCTGCACAGTAAAATATGTCCTGAACATAAGGTCAGCCTCAAGCAACACATAGTGTTGCATATATCTATTTCCGTGAGAACTCTAACCACAGATTTCCTAGGGTCTTTATAGCTGTGTTTTTACATTCAGCTGTTTATACCCTATTTCACGAGTATCCATCACGCTTTGACATCTACTGAGATGAACAGCTGATCAGCAAGTGACATTTCTGTGTTAGCCTGAAACGTTAGCTATAATGAATCAGGTGTAAATCTAGGAAAAATTTGTTTGTAGCGTTTTGTTTTTGTATACAAATGGCCTTTTCTAAATAAAAGAGCTTTTAGCAAGTAAAAAAGGAAACTGAAGCGGACAAAAAACCAAAACAAAATATGGCTCTGTCTTCTTGGCAGTGACGGATCCGTCAGAATTATGTGGTCATTGCCAATATGAGGAATTTTGAAATATTACTAGATAACTAGATGTCATTTTACCATGATGGATGATGGATACTCTTGAAATAGGGTTTACAAATGGGATGACATCAAAACACATGAATATGGGCCAAACATGAAAGACAACGTTTTCGCCTGTCTAAGAACAATATATTTTTAAATTAAAATTTTATGGTCTTTTAGGTCTAAAAATTAATTTTTATGGTTCAAAAGAACACATATTAAGACTTGCTTAAAATAAAGTGTCAACTAGCCTATAGGAAGTGGTTGATCTTCCCTTGAAATGTTGATGTTATGTTTGAGAATAAAAACATCAGAATCTGTTTTATTACATCTGAGGGAATCACTGCGATCCTACTTATGGGCAGCATGGCTGTGATGATAGGAATTGTTGTTGATGATTGGAAATGTTCAAACATAGCAAGGGTTGGGCATATTCGTGGAGAATACATTAGTCAATGCTAATACTGAAAGATAAAAAAGTATAATATCTGATGCGTGAGTTCCGAAGATTGACTTGAATGATTATTGCATCTGATTTGTATTCAAATGTTGTTTTCCAGTACCTGTACAACTTCCTTATCTCTCATAGCAACAGTTGTCTTATTTATCGGATCCCATGCTCTAGTTTCATTGGTTATAGTTCCTAATGCATTTCTAACTTGTATTTGTCTCTTTATTTCTGACTCTACTGCACTTGCTACACCTCTGATAGAGCCAATGTTTTTAATTTCAGTTCGAACCCCCAGAGGTTCTCCCTCTTTGTGGATTGAAACATTTGCATCTACTCTCAGAGCTCCTTCTAGAATTTTGAATTAATGTGTGAAAAACAGAAATATTTTTGTTACTCCTAAGTAAGAATAATTAACCTCCTTTCGTTAGAGCAGAGGTACGCGAGTGAAACTCGGTAAATCTGAGACAGAGACGTTTGATATGATCAAGCAGGCTTACCCAGGTGTTGCTTTAGCAAGAAGTGGTGTGTTTCGGTGGCACCAGGCCTTTTTGGAGGGCCGGGAAGAGGTCGCTGATGAAGACCGTGCTGGAAGACCTTCGACTTCGACAAACACCGATAATGTAACTCGTGTGCGCAAAGTTTTGAACTCAGACCGTCGACTAAGTATTCGTTTAATTGCCCAGATGTTAAATTTACCAAAATCTGTGGTTCATGATATTGTGACACAGCATTTGAACATGCGCAAGGTGTGCGCGAAGATGGTCCCAAAAGTGCTCACTGACGACCAGAAATTGCAGCGAGTGGAAGTGTGCCAAGAAAATTTGAACATGTGTGAAAGTGACCCCCATTTTTTGAATAACGTAAACACAGGTGACGAGTCGTGGATCTTTGAGTATGATCCCGAGACAAAGAGGCAATCTTCCGAGTGACACACGACGGCATCTCCTCGCCCAAAAGAGGGAAGAATGAGCAAATCCAAAGTGCAAACGATGCTCATGGTCTTTTTTGACATCAAAGGCGTCGTCCACCATGAATTTGATCCTCCTGGACAAACCGTCAACGCCAAGTTTTACGTGGAAGTGCTCAGGAGACTCAAACGAAGGGTCAGTCGGGTCCGACAAGACATCGCAGCCGACTGGAAGTTGCACCACGACAACGCCCCGGCTCACACCGCCTTTCTTGTGAACAGCTACCTGACCAAGGCCGGCATCCCAACGCTTCCGCGGCCGCCCTACAGCCCAGATGTGGCCCCCCGGACTTTTTTTCGTTCAAAGAACCCTAAACACCAGGACACTGTGAGCGCTTCAAATAGTCTACCACACATCTCTTCAGTACAACAGCGGGAATCAAGTCAAGACCAGATTAGTTAATAAACATCAAAAGCTAGCAGAAAAAGTGGTTACTGGATATTCTATAAACTCCATAGTTTTCAAGAACTGGATTCAAGGACAAAAATTCTAGAAAGTGGGTGAGATTTTATTAATACATTTTGAGGAACTAGGGTTAGGTTTTTTGTGAGTGGTCACAATCAGATTAGTTAATAAACATCAAAAGCTAGCAGAAAAAGTGGATACTGGATATTCTATAAACTCCCTAGTTTTCAAGAACTGGATTCAAGGACAAAAATTCTAGAAAGTGGGTGAGATTTTATTAATACATTTTGAGGAACTAGGGTTAGGTTTTTTGTGAGTGGTCAGTCACAATCAATAGACTCACTTGTCTATTGTTGCCTACACCTATTTGTATTTCACCCAGTAATACTGACCTCCCTAAGAAGTTGATCTACTTATTTGGAGAAATATCCCCCAGATCTTCTACTTCAAGTACTACACTTGTAGATTTGGAAATATATTATTTTGCAGAGAATAGATGCATTTTTAAATGTCAAAACAGATATCAAAAGCTGTCAGAAAAGGTAATACAATACTTTCTTCTGGTTATTCTATTCCCTCATTAAAAGGAACTTGGCTCCTGGAGAGCAATAAAAAGGATTGCCATCCTGATTTAAAAATGAACATAAGACTGCACAAAAAAGATTACAGAAACAGCTATACCTTCCATTTTGCAACTACATGTATTCAACTTTTGGAGAATCAGGACAAGCTCTTTTACTAGAGCAGCAGCTTCTTCCCCATCTTTCAAGTCAGGATCAAAAACAAGTTCCATCAAAGGTACTCCAGCTCTATTCAAGTCCACTAGACTTCTGTCTGTGTCATGAAGACTCTTAGCACTGTCCTGTTCTAGTTGGATTTGCTGTATTTTTACTTTGGCTTGATAAGGTTTCTTGTGGATTGCTGGAGTATAAACTTGGAATTTCAGCTCACCTTGTACTGCTAGTGGAGCTCTTTGTTGTGTTATCTGATATCCCATCTGAAAATGATTAATGAGTGACCATTTTTATTGCTTTGAGACAGAGAATTGGCAAAAAGGCTATGGTAATGGAAATTATTCAATCAATGTCCAAATACAACAGAGGGGTAGACATCTAAGCAGCCATGCAGGCAGAAGCCTGAATGCTATAAAAGAAACTTTTATTCAGATTTTTGACTATGTCCAAGACTTATGGACATCTAAGTGAGACACTTGTCAAAATGTGTCATCAGCCAAAACTGTATGTGATGTAGCAGCTTGCATTTCTCACAATTCTTTGCATAAGGTAGGATTACACTCATTTGGCAATCTAAAACCAATATATGAATATATGTTAGAAATATCAAACATGTACCAATATAGAAAGGCCATTCTAAAAAAATCAGTAAAAACTGCCTATTGCCCACTGAGAAGCACCATTAAAGCTAAATAAGATTACCCTTGTACAAAGTATAACATCAAAAAATGCACTCACTGGTAAATCTGCATAAAAATAATGCTTCCTATCAAAATAAGATACTGGATTCACTCGACAACCTAAAGCTAATGCTGTCAAAACACCTGCTTCAACACATCTCTTATTCAAGACAGGTAATGTACCAGGTATTGAACAGTCAAACAATGCAACACCTGTATTAACTGGAGAAGAAAATTTAGTTGAAGCACCAGAAAACAGTTTGCTGTTTGACTTTATTTGAGCGTGTACTTCCAAGCCGACGACGCTTTGCCATTGGCTCCTGCAAAACGTCAAGACAATAGAAATTTGAGGCCCCCTTGTCACATTATACTTTACTTTTCAATCGCCTGTGAACAAAGACTTTTCCTGGATATGCTGAAACTGGTAAGATATTTTGTTTTAACGAACATATTAACTAGCAAATATTCATTTAGATTCGATATCAGTAGTTGGATATATGAAGAAAAAAAGCTACTTCCTTGATTAGTAAATAAAATAACATAACCTCAATGATCAATGACTAGTGCTTGACACTTGTCAGCACAAAACATATAAATCAAATTCAAGCGGATAACCAAATGGAAATGGTATTTACCATTTTGGGTTGGTATTTACCAATCCGTTCAAACGAGTGTAGTTATCTGTTTGGTTATAAGATCCGTGACGTCACGAATCAGCTGTTATATGTCATAGTTATCACCGTAAAATTGTGGTATTTACCCAACTCAAAAGTAGTTTTATATTTCTGGTTATTATTTGAAATGTGACAAGTTAGAATTTTGCCGGATATTGGATATTGTTATTGTACTTCAGCTTCATTTTTGAGAAAAATGATACAGGCTGGCTTCAGTTTTACCATAAAGTGGAGCACCTTATTAGTTACACTCATTACGGTTGTTGGAGACACTTTAAATGTAGTTCCTATGCTTAACAAAGTATCCTGTGTAGCCATATACCACAAGAATATTAAAATATGGCCATATAAACTTACTAGATGATATCCACCTGTATACGGTTTTGCTAATTTCTTTTTTCATCATTTCTGCTGAATCAATAAATGTTTTCTTTGACATGCGGAAAAATTTAGAGAATTGAAAGTTATCATAGCTACAAAGCCATGGTTCCATCATTAAAAAAAAATCTGAAAAAAACATTTCTCCCATGAATATTATGAAAGGTTTCTTATTTAAACTTTCCATATACAGTTGTAGACGAAAAAGCACCGATTATTAAGTGACAATAAAAATAATCAGAGATTATATACGCGCTTTTCTAAATTAAACAACTTGCAACAAAACCGCGGTTAAAACCAACGCGTTCAAGCGATTCGTGTAACTGACGTCATCAACCCGTGTGTCATCTTGAACCATATTATAACCGCGGCACATAACACAGAAATTTTGGTTATTCGCTTGGATTTGATTATACACTTGACAGCGAAGTAATGAGTGATAGAAGAAGAGGGCAGTGGAGGTGGCAGTGGGCAAGGAAAGTGGGACATAAAATGTAAAGAAGTAGAAGGAAAAGGATACACCGATTTTCTTTTTCTTTCTTAAGTCGGGCATCAAGGGAGGATTTAGATGTTGGCAGAACCCCATCCCAGTCCGACTAAAGATAACATGGCCACGCAAGACAGCTGTTGAAATGTATTCTACTAGACTATAGAAGATTACCAGTAGCGAAATTTTTGCCGAAATTTGCAAATGAAATTGCCGCTTTGACGTTCTAAATTTGCTGTCGGTACTCCGGGATAGACATCCACCTTGACAGATAACATTGTCATTCTTGCCACCTGGATTGCAGCGTTGCCAGCTCATCGAACGATTTTGCTACCTCTGCTATTTTGATAGAATGTTATAAAAAAAAAAGAAGTTTTGTATAAAAGATTGAGGAATACCAATGAATATATAAAATTGGAGGCGTAGCAATGTTAATGTCTCTGAACATTTTTTAAATGCCCAGTTTTATAGGATAAAATACTTTTTGAATACGGTACTTCTTTCAACAGCGAGACAGAAGCGTGCAATTCGTGTGTTAGAAATAGATAGAAGCACCTTGTTGCCCAGTAACCCGAATGGCGAGGCGAAGACGTAGCTGCGGCTTGACGCGTTGCCACCGCCGTACTCTTTCTAACATACATATTGCACGCTTCTCTCTCGTACACGTTACGACGTCAGCCAAATTTGAACCTCACCGTATAAACCTTAAAAAAGCTCTCCCTATTTTACAGTTTGACTGGCTGCCAAATCAAACCAGAGATGTAGATTTAAAAGATTTATTGACGTTTCGCCCACTTATATTATTATTGCTATTATGTTGAAAAAGATTATCAAAACGTTGGTAAATCTTTCAATTATACATCTGTGGTTTCTTTTTCAGCCAGCAAAACGTGGGAATTCATCAGTGGGCTTAGAACACAACATATACAGGGTGTTCCATAATTATTGCGACAAAATGATAGGGGTTATAGAGGGCATCAAAATGAACAATTTTGCCTTATAAACCCCTGTTCGGAAATATGCCGTTTGGGATGCAGGAAAAAAAAAGATCAGTTTCCTGAAACAGCTTACCTACAGTAATTGCTCAAAGTGTCCTCCACCTTGCTCAATACACAGCTGTGCACGATTGTTCAATGATCGGCGAACTCTGTGGCATACCCCCGGTTTGTCCTGAACATGTGCGGACGCGGCCATCACTCTTCCCAGTAGCTCTTGTTGGTTGGGAACAGTAGTTTCGTACACTAAAGCTTTCAGATGGCCCCAGAGAAAATAATCCAGTGGGGTCAGGTCGGGTGACCGCGCAGGCCAAGGCACAGGGCCACCTCGGCCGATCCACCTATTTGTCGTCCAAATACTGCCGCACTTGTAAAGAAAAGTGGGCTGGAGCGCCATCGTGTTGAAACCACGTGTTGGCTCTTATGTTCAGTGGCACATTTTATAATAGTTCCGGTAGCACATGCTGTAAGAATCGACCATAAGCATGCCCATCCAAACGTGGTGGAAGCAAATATGGCCCGATGATATGCTCGTCCACAATGCCGCACCAGATGTTAATTGAAAACTATGTTGGTCTCTATGGATGGCTATGGCATGAGGGTTTTCTTCATCCCAAATGTGACTGTTACGGCTATTAAAATAACCTTCCTTTGTGAAACAGGACTCGTCAGTGAACAAAACGTAGCGACCAAAGTTTGGTTGCCTCAACTCCTGCTGCAGCCACCAACGACAAAAACGTCGACGCGGCAGATAGTTTTCTGGACCCATGGCTTGGACTTTTAAAAGGTGGTATGGGTGTAGTTGCTGGTCATGGAGAACCCGCCAAGCAGTAGTTTGAGACGCTCCCATTTCATGTGCAATAGCACGCACGCTTGTACGCGGATTGGCCTCTAGTTTGACGCACCACTCAGATAAATTAAATGAGTCGGTATGGAGAATTTACGATAACAAAAATCTAAACACAGCAGGCTTTTTTTACAAATCGGCGAGACCATGAAATGTGCTAGACGAACATTTTGCAGCTGTTGAATTTTTTGTTTCTCTTAAGGTAAAATTAGCGGTAGTGCTCAAACGGCATATTTACGAACAGGAGTTTATAAGGCAAAATTGCATATTTTTATGCCCTCTACAACCCCTATCATTTTGTCGCAATAATTATGGAACACCCTGTATAACAGGGTGACTTTGAAGTTGAGTCATTAATTTTCAGATAATGATTGTAGAAGGAATATAAACCAAAATATGTGTGTAAAAATAAAAAAAAAAATAAAAAAAAATTTTTACCTTGTTTTATAAAGTATCCTCCCGACAAGTATTTCAGTGCGGACCTGTATTTGATCGTGAGGTCCCCTGTGAGGTCTCAAGTCACCTGATTCACGAGCCCGTTGTACTACATTAACAAAGGCACGAGGGGTTGGTTGCACTCGATTGGGAAACCGATCCGCATAAACATGTGCCATTTTTTATTTCGTTTGAGCCACGCAACAGACACCACTATTCACACGCGTTACCGACTGACACTGACTGTATGTATACAACTGAATAAAATAATTGTAAAAACATCGTTCCAAATTCTTTCGCTTTTTTGTTTCCGATGCGATGAACCGATAAGGCGGATTATATCCGTTGTTGCCAAACACGAGCACATGATATTATTATTGAGACAGGGCGGTACTCAAACTTCCAAAGGGCTATAACTTTGTTACTTTAATTTTACCAGAAAAATGGTAAAGGAAAAAACATTTCTTTTGATCAGATCTACTCACTGTTAAAATAAATGACTCAACTTCGAAGTCACCCTGTATAAATATATATATATATATATAGTTTAAAATATGGATTTAAAAAAATGGCGGAAAGGAACACTTGTTCCTTCTAGTTGTTGTTTACCGGTATTCCCATCTCAACCTTATGACACGCCGTGCTATCAGTAGTATCAGTTTGTCATTCTCTGTCTCTGTCTTTTTGAATGTCAGCGATATCATATGTTTTGTGGCTTTGTCAGCCCTGCAAATTTGTTTATTTCTGGAGGAAATCGGAACTTTTCTCGTATCATTGCTTTATTGAAAAAAGCACATAGTCTTATAAACGTCTAAAAATCATAAATATTCCTGATCATTTCAATTATTCAATCGGATAGTTTCATGTGACGCATGGCAGTGACAAGTAGCAGCAATTTTTGACAGTACAGAAAATCACAAAAATAATCAACATCCTAAATAAATTTATAGCTTTTTGTATGTTAATAATATAAATATTTAATATATCCGTTAACTGTAGTATAAATAACAAATATGATCAAATTATTTTCGCTGAAGCAACAGAAAAAAGACGGAGAAGCTTCACCAAGGACTGGCAACCAAAAGAAAGCATCAGCTGCACAACTCAGGATAACAAAAGGTCAGTTATTCTTGAAATAGTCTTGAAAATGTCTTTATATGTATTTTCTTTACAGATATTAACGAACTGAACTTACCAAAAACATGTACAACTGAATTCCCTGACCCAGATGACCTCTTGAACTTCAAATTAGTGATTTGCCCAGATGAGGTAAGTGCAACTTGAATCAACACTTTATCCCATTTACTTAAACATGTATAATGTCCTCTTTAGCTTAGCAATATGCTCAGAATTCTTCTGATGTTCAGAGTTGATTATGATTTTGAAATTTGTATTCTAGATAAACCTGTATTGAGTTTTACAATCATCTTGCAGTAAAGCTGCATTCAATTATATACTTGACATCTCAAACTTGAATTTAATTACGTAATACAAGGTTAAAGCTTTTCATATTTCGAAAAATTACCTAATAAAATCAGGAATGCTTGATTTCAATCTTATAAGAATCCAAGCTGCCTTGGGTAGTAGGATACAAAATAAAACCCTAATTTGGGAAGGACTAAAAATTATCCATTCTTTTTAGTAAAGGTTTGCCTTGCAAAGACTAGGGCTGGTTATTATTCACAATACTTTTCGACTTTTGCTGCATTTTGTTTAATTTCCTTTGTAGTTCTTAAGAGTTTAAATGAGATAGAAGAGCAAATAAAAAGGTAACACAAAGTTGTCTCATATTGATATCTACTCTATGTATTAAGAAAAAACCTATAGTAATAACTCCATATGCATAAAAAATAAGCATTGCAACTATTGTGAATACACTAGGAGATGGGCATTTACTGAAAAAATAATCCATATCAGTTTTTGAGTTACATGAAAATTTGCTGTAACCTTGGTTACAAGTATTTTTTGGATGATGTCTTCTTTTCTTTGAGAAAATATATAGGTTTGGGAGAGGCGTATGAACTCAGACTTTGCATATCGCATCTACAATTATTTGATTTACACCAGGTACCTGGTCAAATGAGGCCAGTACATAGAGTACCTGGTGCATTGCTAGTAATTTGACTTTCACTTGCCTGTATATATACCTCCTAAAAATAAACATAAAAGAACAATACACAAGAAATCATTAGAATTGTACTGAAATGATGCTTCCAACATGACATTAGTCAATCTGACAACTAATGTCAAAGATATAGGGTTCCTTTATGCTTCCACTGTAAATTGCCCACCTGTATGAAGGGATACTGGTGGTAGACATAGACCTGCCAAGAACAGTGACTTCAACTATACAATGATGTATTGGCTTTTCAGTTTGGTTGGCGATGTTATGCAAATTATCCAAAAGTATGCCCTAACACTACACTATTTTGATGACAAATAATCCAACATAACCACTTTATCTATTCAAATTCGTACGTACGAGGTCTGTAAATTAAGTGATAAGACTGGTTTTTTCAACTTTTTTATTCAAATATAATTACAATTTTATATTGTCACCCTCAAAATAACTTTCTTCTGAAGCCACACAGTGCTGGAGACTGTTCTTCCACTCCTCATAGCAGTGCTGGGGCTCCGATACTTGAATAGCCTTCAGCTGGTCGGTTACAGCCATTTAAATGTTTTCGAATATCCCAAAATAAGTTTCCTTGAGGTGATTTGCCAACTTCAAGAAGACAAAAAGTCAAGGACTCAATTCAGGCGAATAAAGAGGCTGAGGAGCCACAGGAATGTTTTTACCGGCCAAAAACTCGTTGATTGACTTTGCAAGGAGCATTATCTTGACGCACCACCCAGTTGTTTTTGTTCTGATCAATCACTCTGACTGACAACCAACCGGTTCTTGAAGATGACGGCGTTTTGCTTCGTGGTTCATCTTTAATCGGCTCTCTCGCTTCTTAAAATGCCGTAAATCACCGAAAAACCTGGGTTCTTGACAAAATACTATCTCCATAAGGCTGTTTAGCTGTTTTCGTTGCACGATGCCCAAATCTGAAGCAAAACCTGATAGCACACCTTTACTCGAAATTGATGGCACTCATTTTTAGAACACAATAGAAAAAACTGTTATCAAAATAATCGACAACCAAATGACTCGAGCGAGTTCAAACGTGTACTGAAGGCGTATAACATGTTGCCGTATCTCCCCTCCAAGCCCGGCGCCTCCAGTGTTGCAAGATCGAACACTATATTGCCAGTCTCATCACTCAATTTACAGACCTCGTACAACATACAGCAGACGCTCGATAATGTAAACTAATTTAATCCAAGTGTGGTTCACATTATCGAAATGTTTACATTAGCAAACGTGATTTATATAATATTTGATTTATCAAAAGAAACGTTTAATACATACTATTTATAACAACATAAACAAATATTCTAACAGGGATAAGTATTTTTTTAATTAGAAGAAAAATAATTAACAATTTTTGTCTGCGTAAATTTGCGCTTAGCATTGTCTTCCAATGCCTGCGCCCGTAATTTACGAAGAACTAAAATATTCGTGTATGAAACTTCTTTTCTTTCAGCCCAATCTAAAGCTTGGTTAAAAACTTGTATAGCTTGCGCGTCAGTCACTACACTTCTGACTTCAATGGGATCGTTCTCATCATCCTCACTGTCCATATCCTCCTCCTTATCAGCATCATTCGTCTGCTTATCTTCGTTCCATAAATTAATATCAGCAGGAGTACAAACAATGTTGGGATTCACTGTTTTCAATAAATCAACAACATCCAATGACACACTAATAACATTATCATTATTGGATCGCAAACGTTCTCTAATTACGCTTAAGGGGACATCATCTTCTTCATCTTCATTATTGGTACAAAAGAGATTGTTCCAACATTTTTTAATAGTTTGCTGGTTAAGTTCATTCCAGGCCATATGTAAATCTAAAACAGCTTCTCGTAATCTTACTTTTTTTAAAGCCTCAGATAAGTTTTCAGGATTCTTTGATAAGACAGACGAAAGTAGAAACTTCCTATAGTATAGTTTGGTGAGTCTTATTATATTCTGGTCCATCGGTTGAATTAACGGTGTTACGTTGGGCGGCATGTACATGACGAAAATTGACCCATCCCTGCTCCTCAGTTGTAGCTCGGGAGGATGACTTTGTGCATTATCCAATAGTAACAACGCTTTTATTGGAAGCTTCTGTTGTTTTAGGAAACCTTTTACCTACAAATTGAAAACACATCTTCAAATTATGAATAGAGCATTTGTGATGATTGTCATACCCGAGGGACAAAGCACCTGTGGAACCATTTCAGGAATATACTGCTAGTCATCCAAGCGGTTTTTGAACAGTCATAATCAACAGGGATATTAACATTTTTAAATGAGCGCGAATTTTTTGCTTTCCCAACTACCAGTGGCTTTATTTTGTGTGAACCATTAGCATTAGTGCATGCTAGAAACGTTATTCGTTGTTTCTCCGGCTTTCTTCCCGGGACAGATTTTTCAAATGATGCAGCATAGGTTTTCTCTGGTAACATTTTCCAATAAAGGCCACTTTCATCTGCGTTGTAAATTTGTTCCATTCTTAAATCTAGCTCGGTAATTGTTTTCATCAATTTTTCTTTGAATGGTTGCACTAATTGTGGTTGTGCTGATAATTTTTCACCAGATATAGACTGCAGTCGAATCCCATATCTTGTTTGGAATCGTTGTATCCAGCCATCACTAGCTACGAAATTTTCAGTTTCTTTCAGTTTTTCATTTAACAGTCTCGCTCTTTGTTTAAGTACTTCGCCACTAACTGGGACATGATTTACCCGTTGTTTTAAAAACCACTTATACAGGAAATTTTCCATTTTACGTGCCTTCGCATTTTTTAAAGTTTTTCTTTTTCCCGGACCTCCAAATGTATTGCACGTTCTTTGTAAAATTTGAGTTTTCATACGCTTAGTTTTACAGATTATTGCTTTCGGTACTCCATATTTTTTTGCTAACTGTGTCACTCCCGCACCTAGTGCAACTTCGTCTATGATTTTCACTTTCTCACTCAACTTTAAACACTTTCTTTTATAGGATGTGGATGCCATAGTCGTAAAATATATTAACGCGTGCAATGTATTCACTTAAGTTCAAAAATGAAATACATACGTATACTTTATCTGAAGTCACTTGAAATAGCATAAAAACCTTTGGTCGGCGCGTCCTTTGAAATTTCATGACGTATCATAGGCGTGCGGTCATTTATTTAGAACGATAATAATAATGTTTTTAATTCACAATAAATGGATTTTACTATCTTCTTATTTTTTTGATTTGGGATAAAAAATACTTATATTGGGAGTTTAATTTATGTTGACTGAAAGTTAAGAAATGGAAAAATTACAGAATTCCAACGTTTGACATAGGCAAATATTTACATAGCAGGTAGGTATATAAAGACTTACATTATAGGTATTTATATATCATCCTCGCCTTCGGAGCTGTCGCTAGAGTCATCTTGTAGAGGAATTACAACGGGATTTACAGGAGGCAAAACACAATATTCATTTTCTTTTTCAATAATATGCCTAGAACACTGCTTCCATAGGTCTGTGGCAGCAATATGAGATACTGCATCTCTTATTGTGGCCAATAGCGATTCACTTAATTGAGGGGTCTGATTATGTTTTCTTACTTTTTTTTTAAAGCAGCCCAGACCAACTCAATCGGGTTAAAAATGCAGTAATAGGGAGGTAGACGTAATACTTCATGGCCATTTTGCTGAAGCAGATTGTTAACAACATATTATTTTTCAAATTTTTGTCTTTTAATAAGATCCAATAATATGGCTTTGGTTGATTTTTGTGGTATTTCCATTCCCTTATCCTTCATAAAATCAATAATGTCTTGTTTTTTTGTGCCTGTATTCCGAATTTTGTTTGTCTGTCGGGAATGGTATGGCGCATTGTCCATAATAATCACTGAATTTGGGGAAATGTTTGGTATTAACTGCTGCTCTATCCACTTTTCAAAGAAGTCGGAGGTCATGTTCTTATGATAGTCGGCACATGATTCTTTGATATTTTTGGCAGATAACAGCAAGGCATTAGGTATAAATCCATTTTCACTGCCAGCATGGAGAATAATGATTCGTTTTCCACGGTTGCATGGTGCATTTTAAAATGCACTTGTTGCTGTCGTCAACCCAGCCGTACTGCACAACATCATGGGTATCATACCAAGTTTCATCCAGGTAAATCAGATTTCTTTTCTGCTCTCTATAGATTTTAACTTTGTGCAAAAATTGTTGGCGCAATTCAACGATTCGAGACGACTCCATAATCACCATTCTTTTATCTAATTTTTTGTATTGAAAACCACACAGTTTTACAATACAGTGCAGTGAGTCTAAGCATTTGTAATTATAAAAATCTTCAGGATAATCTTTTAGTTTATCCCGTATCATTTAAAACGTGGGCACCAAATTTTCTTTATAAAATCCGTATATTATACGACGAATATCTTCCTGAAAACCCACGTCTATTCTTTTTAATTTTTGCCCTATGCGCTTTCTGTGGAAGGAATGGTTGACTACATCTCCCCTTTTTATAACCCGATAAATGGTAGACCGACTGATTTTTGTCAGGATACAAATTCTGTTTAAAATTTGATTTTGCGAGGAATCTGGATTTTCGTTTTTCAGACAATCATACATATTTAGGTACTCTTTGGGTCTGTTCCTCTAAATCTTTATGAAAGAATTCTGCCTGCACAGGTTCATCAACCATCTCCTCGTGGCTTGGAGCATTTTCCCAAGGTCTCCAAAGAGCCATATTTAGGTCACATAAGAACAATCAACACAACAATTAAATCAACAAGTAAACTGAGTATTCAAAAGTCAAAAACACACAAACTAATAAAATCTATGAAAAAACACGGACAGACTAAAGAAAATGTTTATTCACCGCTACACGGCACTGGCTAAACTTTCAATTTTCAGTAGCCACCTGCACTTGTTCGGAGCTCTGAAATACACGCTTTCTCATTGGCTATGTCTGACCGAGTTTGTCGTATTTTATCGCAGAGGTGAATCCCCTACACTCTACATCATAAATCGGGGACTCCCCGACGCCCGACATAAATCATCGAGGCTTCAGCATTTTACCGTCGCGCTGTTTCCGTGCGCCGAGAGTTGTTTACGTTATCGCGCGTTCCGTTTGATCCCATAGAACGAAGTTTGTGTTTACATTAGCGCAAGTTTTCATTTACCCGTGTTTACGTTATCGAGCGTCTGCTGTACATTGATGTAATCATCAAATAAATTTTATTTTTTGCGGGTGAGTGAATTGGAAAACTAGCAGTGAATGGTTGAATGAGGGTGGCTCAATCTGATAAAAATCCCCACTCTAGTACTGCCTACTTAACCCTAATCACTCCAAAAATTAAATCTTTAACATCCTTTATCATTTGTTCCAGGGATTTTATAGAACCGGACGATTCGTATTTAGCTTCAAAGTGGGACCAAACTACCCACATGAGCCACCAAAAGTAAAATGTGAAACTCAAGTATACCATCCTAACATCGACCAACAAGGCAATGTCTGTCTCAACATCCTTCGTGAAGACTGGAAGCCAGTACTGACGATCAATAGTATCGTCTATGGATTGCAGTACCTCTTTCTAGAGCCCAATCCTGAAGATCCATTGAACAAGGAAGCTGCTGAAGTGTTGACCAATAACAGGAGGTTGTTTGAGCAGAATGTCCAGAAGGCTATAAAAGGAGGCTATGTGGGCGGCATCTACTTTGACCGTTGTTTAAAGTGATGTTTTTTGTGCGGAGGAAATTAAAGCTAACGTTTTCAATGACTCTCCTAAGGTTTAATCAATCAAAAGAACAAATGATGACATGTATTTATTTTCTCGTTGTAGACTCTGAGTTACGGCAGCAGTGTGTGAAAGTTAAGCAATGGAAGAACTACCTCTGAGAGTTTTTTATTTTTTCTGATGGTCGTGCTGCAACTCAGGCACATTTAGACGTATCGAAATTACATGTGAAATGCGCATACATCATTATTACTTATGGAACACACTATTTGTTGTAAATTTAAATAATTAGGAACAAAGGCTTTTTTATTTAAGTTTAATATTGTTTTAATTTTTATTCTCATTTTTAATTTATTTCTATTCCATTATACTTAGAGCATTATTTTCTAAATAAATTCTTCGAAAAGACTGCGTATTTTTCATTAAGAAATATCAGAGTTTAAATTAAACGTTTAAAAATCCTAAATCAAATACGATAACATTCCTGAATTTAAATGCGTTTATTCTGTGGATATTGTTAGAAAATATATAAATCCATTGACACTTCTCAACATATGTGACTAGATACCACCACCGAATTGTAGAAAATCGTCGCATGTACCTGGTTTAAAAAACATCCCCTAGTAACAATACATTTATTCAGGTTCCATTATCGTAGTTACCCACATATAAGAAATAGGCTGTAGTTGTTCTTGATCTCAATTCCCATAGTTTGCCTAAATTTCAACGAAGATATATACGCCATCAAAATACGCTGACATGAAATGAAACATGTTCAAAGCAAATCATTTATTAAATTGCAGTAACATATCCCATTTATGATCCTGTTTAAAGTGGTTACTACAACATAAAAATACACAGTATTTTATAACAAATAAAACTATTTACAATCAAAAGAATTACCAGTTTGCTTGAAATTTCATTATAATTTTTATTTTGTTGTAAAATATGATCTAATAAAAAGGCACTTAATCAAAAATAAAAAGATATTTATGATTAAAATGTACAAATATTCACTCACTGGTCAGTGTAGTCAATTTTACAATCAGTCGTAAATAAATTAACATATATAAACACAATTGTTCATGAGTTGACATCGCCAAATTTGAAAGATGTTGGAACTGACTGTTGTGTAAACATGTAACCTGTAACAGACAAGAACAACGTAATGAGTTATACTATTCATTAACAACAATTAAAGTATTCTTTAAAAATAAGCCCAACCATAATATATGCAGTATCTGTAATACCCTTAGAATACAAATACTTCATTTGCGAAGAAGATTGTTTAATCTTAAGCAAGTCAGCAACCTTCCAAGGACAGGTCACCTCTCAACATCCCTCGTAATTATTCCCAATTATTCTCAGAATTTCTCAATGATGAGAAAAGAAAATCCCGTAACCTGCGGCAAGAATCAGGGAAATGGCAACGCTGACACCTAAGGACTGTGGCTGACATATATGTATAGTTCTTTCAAATAAAAAAGCTAAATGTATGCCAATGGCGCTTCTAAACGGGTAATATTTTTCTAACCTGCAGGGATATTACGTAACTTGAAAAGTGACATTATGTCGGTTTTTTGACATTATGTAGGTTTTCCAACAAGACGTCAACTTGGAACTAGCTGTCGTTCACTTCATGTACCCTTGTAGCAAGCGTGGAATTAACTATTTCCACACTAGCCTACTTAGTCAACAAGTGATATTTCATCGTTTATTTTTGACAGTCCATAGGTCTTTTGCGTAATAACCCTGCCTGTCATACTTTTTAACATTTCCGATCTACTTTCATGAAATGCTGTTGGATTGGCAAATTATTGGAATCACACTTAATGTCATGAAATTTACGTAATGTACGCTACTGCGATGAATCATTCTCGCCTGATTTTGTAGTCCTGTTGAGACATATAGTATCAATATCGCCAATATACATACATATTGCGCGCTTAGATGCCCCCCATAACATAAATATGCATTAAAAATCGGAAAAAAATTTGATATTGAGGGGGAATCTAACCCACAATCTTCAGGCTCTTCCGTGACCACTTGCGTGAAACCACCAATATAAATATTAGTTCTGCAAGAGAGAAAACAAACCCTAGTAAAAAAACGCATTCTGTATGAACAAGCCTAAAAATGAACATTGTCCGCTTGAATGAAACAGAAATATGAGAATACCGCTGGATCGCCCTAAATTTATTCAATGGGAGATGAGAAGAACAACTAAACTCACAGTCTGGTTAAATATACTAAGTGACATATAAATCCGAACACCCAGTTTAAATGGTTTTATTTTAATAAAATTTTGTATAAGTACTTAATGAAGCATAATAAGTAAATGATAAAAATTTCAAAATGATTGCACTGCTTTAGAGCCCTTTGCCCTTTAATGATGTGTGGATGCACCCTGATGTGCTACGCATTCTCCAACGCGCCTAGGCATGCTTCTGATCAGGTGGTCAATGTCCTCCTGTGGTATCTCATTCCAGGCAACCACCAACTCCTCTCGAAGTGCTTCTAGAGTCTGAGGAGGACGTTGCAAATTGAGCAATCTCCTACCCATCATATCCCACAAGTGTTCAACTGGGGATAAGTCGGGAGATCTTGGTGGCCATGGTAACAATGTGACATCATTATGTTGAAAGAAGTCTATTGTGACTCTTGCAACATGTGGTCGGGCATTATCTTGTTGGAAAGTTGGATCTGACAGGGTGTCAAGATAGGGTATAAGATGGGGTTCTAGAACTTCGTGGATATAACGCTGCGCGTTCATGTTACCTCTGATGAAGATTAAGGGTGACCTGGAACCATAAGCTATAGCACCCCAAACCATAACTCCAACAGTGTGATGAACATGTCTTTCAACAAAAAACTGTGGATTCCTCCTTTCACCACGTCGCCTTCTAACCCTGGCACGACCATCGTGCATGCCTAAACAAAATCGAGACTCGTCACTAAAGACAATACTGTTCCATTCCTGATCCCAGAGTGACCATTGTCTGCACCACTCAAGGCGATTACGTCGGTGTTCTCGAGTTAAAGGGAGGACCCAGTGTGGCCGGTATGAAAACAAGCCAAAACTTCTCATTCGTCGGTAAACACTTCGCATGCCAATAGGTCTTCCGTGTTCTGCAAACCATTCATTTGCAATGGACCTGGTAGTGAAGAAACGGTCCCTTAAGGCCAATAATCTTAGGCGGCGATCTTCACGGTCTGTTGTTCTACGACGGCGTCCAGTGCCCCTTGCTCTTTGCGCCTTCTCGAAGCCATGCCTGACAACACCTAACCACAGTGTCTACACTTCTTTGCACTCTAACTGCAATTGCCCGAAAAGAAAGTCCAGCTTCCCAAAGTCCCACTATACGGCCCCTATCAGACTCACTAAGTTGAAATATTCATTTTTAGAGCGTAAGTGAATTAAAAAAAAAGCAGTATAAAAACCGGAATGTCCAACTGATAAGGCTGAAATTTTTTTCACCTGTTATTTACAGTAAGATAAATACATTCACCAACTTTTATTAAAATAAAACCATTTAAACTGGGTGTTCGGATTTATATGTCACTTAGTATACATTTGCTCTGCAAATACTATAATGTTATTATTTTACTTAGTTATTGTTGCACCACTTCGATTTCGTGAAAACTTAGCTAAAATAAATTGACATCTGTTAGGGAAATTACATCTGCAAATACAAACTATTGAATTGGTTCCGTTTTCTTCCACACCAGAGTTATATGAATAAAACGGCTAAGCTTAATCAGAACATAGGATAAAAAATTGACGATGAACTTTAGTAAAAAGAACATGCAATAAACAGAGCAAACTGAATTGGAGTGGTCGTATCTGAGGTTGGGTGTAAAACGTACGCAACTATAATCAGATATATTTCTATTTAGATTGATTGGAACTTCTTCCATGTACCATTATTACATTTGCTGCTGTAAATGCAATGCCTACCATCTAGTACTTCCTTTGGATCGACTGCATCAGTTGAAAAACAATCTGAAGTATTTACATCCCAAAGGCATTCAAATAATTCGGAGAAATCACGTTCATGAATAAATACTGCTGTAGTTTCTTATAAGCAGTTTCGAAATACGAGTATTATCACGCGAGTTTTTTAGAACTACTACTACTACTACTACTAGAACTACTACTTGAAGTACAACAACAGAACACCAAACAAATTTAGATCAAGATGATCACGCTGAGAAAACGAATGTCGAAATGCAATAAGTGCACGATGCAAATACCCTATTTACATAGGCACCCTTACTCACTTCGGTCGGACCAGATATCGAGCGCTTTCGCGTCATTATTAGAAGAAATTCACTCGAACACTCTGTATCTCTTTAGATAAGGTAAGGCGAGATTATATCGATTTTTAATGACATTATTTTTCCGAACTTGCTGTCATTCACTTCATGTTCACTTGTACCAGCAGTGCGTGTTGCCTAAACGTCACCCTCTTGAGCTAAATGGTTTGGCACTGCCCACTGCTTCAGAGATGGCACTAGTGGAGGTCATTTATATCTTCTATGACTTAAGCTGTAAGTTCTATATTCTAGGTCGTTATACCACTTCATAGCGAGTAGATATGGCGTGGAGTAGCGACTGGCTAGTACATAAGTTGACATTATACCGACTTTTTACGAACTCAGACTAGGTAGAAGGAGTCAGTCAAGGAGTTGTTTGTCTCGTAATTCTCATAGTCTGTAGTGACAAGTCAAATTATTGACAGTTCTGTTATTGAAATCGTATTTTTAGCATTATTTTTAAAAAGTGCGAGTGTTTGAAGATACTTGAGGTGTTAGAGCATTTCAAGACATGGTACTTTTTACATAATTAGCATAGAGTGAATGAAGGTAGATGTTTCCACCGGTAAGTATTATTATGTTGCTACAAAGCTGTCACTTTGGTAGACATTGGTAGTCAAATGAGTCGAGAGTATGCTTTAAAACCCCGCAATTTAGGCGACAATCAATGCAATGTAAGCATATAGGCTTTGCTCATAATCTATTCGAATTCGTTGGGTTTAACGAGATCTAACAGTTGGTACATTGGAATCGATCCAGGGGATCCGAGTTCCGAAGTTTAACCCTTAGAGCATTCCACACCATAAAGTGTGAGGCAGAACAGGCACCAAACACATATTAGCTACACCAAATGAGTTTGGTCAGAGAAACATGAACAAAAAACTCCTCTGTATGAACTAAAAGTTGGCACCCATGGTGATACACAGACCTCGAAACGCAACTGACAATTATGTCACCTCAAATGGCTCACCAAAATGAGTGAAAATACGACATCGCGAAGATCAGTCGAATCATGTAACTGCAAAGTATCCGGACAGATTCTCACATACGATCAGTGCGTGAATTGTTGCCGAAAAAACGACGATCATCAGTTCTGCAGAAGAGACGCCGCATGCGTTTACAGACAATCTGCCGCAATATCGAACAAAACCAACCCACCAAAATGCCCGTGCAGTTTGGCCAAAACGGAACTGGCCAATCGGCCGATATCCTTGAAAGAAAGATGCTTAGGTTGTTGCGACGACACCAAGTTCACGTTCAACAGGCTCATTTCAATATGCGAGATGAACCCCGACTGTATTATAAACATGTACAAGACACGCAGCGATAAAGGCAGTTTGCTGCCAGATATTCAGACCGAGAACACGCCAGAGAATCTGATGATTGATAAAAATATGGAAGCTAGTGACAGCGATAGGGAAAAGAATAATCCACGGTCGATTTTAATTGGTATGAAACCTCCACAAGATGAAACAGGTAAAAACAACCATCTGCAATTACTCATTATAAAAACTAACAAGTTACTAAAATGAAAATTACTTTAAGCATCGGTTAACCTGATGACCAACCATACGCAGTGTTTGAACGTTCACTTACAATTTCCATCGTCACAGATATATTTCCAAGAGGGATCGTAGTTACACACTTAGAAGTAATAAAAACATATTCCATTTTCCTTCTATTATAGAAAATTACGTACACCACTCAAATGGTAGTTTCACCTATGTATGTAGCGCAGTCGGGTTTTTGTTCCACAATCTCGATACCCTAGGGACAAAGGAACGGTCGTATCGACAAGTTATGGATGTACAAAGCTCGACACAGTTAGGATAGGAGGCTGAAGCCAGGCAGGTCTGTCTGGCAGGCACAACGTGCGGCGGAATCATGGAGGAGTGCTCCGAGGAACAAAACCCGTCAGCGTGGAAGAGTGCTAGATGAGAGATAGCATCGAGCATGGATAATGTAGCCGGGGCGGCAGCACCCTAAACATGTGAACAGTACTCGAGGCTAGGTCTTAACTGGGCCTTGTACAGAGTGAAAAGTACTACTTAGCCCTAAACAGCAAACCTTTTTCCCAGCAGCTGCCGCTATTGACGAGTTGTGTTCGTTGCCTGATCAAGTCCTCGGTGATCTGGGCTCCGACCAGTCAAAATGAACGGCTCTTTAGTAGAACTTGGCCATCGATCGAAACCGGATGAGCGCTAAGACGCTTCTTGTTCGTCAAGGTACATCAACACGGTTTGAAAGCATTAAACTGTACAAGATTGCTGCGTCCTCAAGCAGTGATAACCTCCAGGTCTCTCGTCAGAGTGGAAGTTGCAGCTAGTCTTCTTTTCTCCAGCTTACCGGACAGATCGGCTTAATTTTTGTTACCTTAGTAGAAGGGTTATGTTTTCAGCGCGTGTTGTGTATGTGGACAAATCTTTCTATTTCACGACCTACAGCCCTAAGGACTTGATGGATTTTGATATGTGAGATGTTGTCAGTACGACACTGGACATGTTAAAATTTTATAAAACTAAAATGACGACTTTTTAACGCAAATACAGGGTGTCCGCAAAGTTGGGGTTTTCCTTTACACGACGTGTAGATCTTGAAAACATGAGCAATTTTTCTTAGTACCATATACACCAATGTCTTAAGGGAACCGAGATAAAGGGCTCTGCAACATCAAAAATATCTGAATACCGTCCTGTAGCCGCGACATCCCCCAGTGGTACTAGGACACTAGCTCAACCCGACGACAGAACTGGGTCGGGGTCAGTGTGTCAGGTCAGTATGAAACCTTCAACCGACGGTTACGGTCACGCGTGTAGAGATAATCGCGTAGACGTGAATCCCTCAACAAGCACTAGAGACGTGGCTAGAGAAGTGCAAGTATCAAAAACTAAAGCGTGGCAAACGCTGCGTGAAGAGGGGCTGTATCCGTTTCACGTCCAACGTGTACAGCCCTTCAACCTGACGATTTTCCAGCAAGAGTGCGGTTTTGTGAGTGGTTGTTGCATCAACATGACAATAATCCGGACTTTTTGAAGTGCATATTGGTGACAGACGAATCTACGTTCACGCGTAATGGAGTGAATAACTTTTGCAACACTCATGTTTGGTCAGTAGAAAATCCGCACGCTGTCCGTCGGGCACATTTTCAACAAACATTTTCGGTTAATGTTTGGGCTGGCATGGTGAACCTAGACCTAGACTTTTTACGCAACATTTTGCCTTCCTTGTTTGCCTGTAGCGCACCAGCTGATTTCATTTTCTGTTGGAGCGGTATGATTTCGGGCAGAGACGTACTTAGCCCTTCTCGTCAACTGGAGAGTGAGTACTTTTTCCTTAATTTTTTTTTTACTTGGTCGCCCTCGTTTCACTACACGTTACCTTTGTTATTTCAAGGGTAGTTGTTTCTGAAAAGGAAAACCCCAACTTTGCGGACACCCTGTATAAACTTTGGAATACCTATTTTACGGACTACAACTTAATGCATTTTGACCGTGTAACACATAGTTTTCAACAGATTATTTAGATTATTTGGAATGCATGTAATGTCTAAACTTGATTTTTTTCCTATCTCTTACGAATATTTTGATTTTAGCTTTTAAGAAAATTCCACTGGACGGGGAATCAAAAGGGAATCCACATCCACCTACATCAACTCGCTTATCTCAGTGGAGTAACAGAGGACCAAGCATAATTTGGAGTTACTACGATCCTGAGGGCAGCATAAAAGATACAGTATCTCCAGAACCAGATTACTATCCAAAAAGCACTTCTGAGTTAGTTTTATTTAGTTATGATTCATATAACTATCAAGCGTAAGTGATACGCAGAATTTTTTTTTAAAGTTCTTATAATAGGAAATATGACGTAACGTAAAAGCTGAAGATTTTAAGATGGCAGCTGAGCGCTATCTTGGAACATGTTTTTAGTGAAATAGGGTGGTCATTTTGAAGCGCCTTATCAGTAATTCTCAGGCTGTCAAATTTGTGCGGTTTTGCGCAATGAATCATTTATAACTTAACAACTAATCATCAAAACGGCATAGTATGTTATATCAGCCTTCTTCTTTTGAAAATGGCACCAGCTCTGGCGAAAAACTATAATTACGTTTGTCTTGGACTTTGGACTATTTCTCGTTTAATAACAGAAAAAAAGTAAATGCCCTCAGAATATTTTTTAGGAGGTAATATATATTTATAATGTACCGTCGAAATAATTATTTTGGAAAATACCGCACTGGCATAATCTTAGATATCTAAGCAACCCAACACAATGGCAACCGGACGTCAATTTGGTTTTGACTTTCAGTTGAGTTGCTTTTCCTTCGTACTGATGCAAGTGCTAAACAACCAGCAGCCTCGTTTTGAGATTGCGGATACAAAAGCACTGACTATATACTAATAAGAAGTCAGAATGTAGATTATTTTGGTTCTTAAAAGCTCCGATTGAAGGAAAAAGTAGCTCCAAATATATTATGTTCTGTATGTATGTATGTTAGGATTATCGGCACAAGTTCGCTTCTCTGGTGAGTGTTCTGGTATTACATGTATTACTGCCGCGCCACAGCATAGTGTTTCCTATGCTGTGGCCCCGCTGCCACGTTTGACCGGCTTAGGAATCGGTGAGAGGCGAAGTTGAAGAATGCATACGGACTAATTGTATGGACCTGTTGGACTTAACGAGTCGAAATCGGGTTGTAGTCAAGTTGCTTTGGTTGAAACAGTAACTTAAGGTTCGATACCCCTAAAAACATGATTAATTTTCTGATTTAGCCCTGCAAAAGGAAGAAGTTGGTACCGTGAGATAGACCATGAAGAATGGCGCAAAGCACAAAAAGCACCGTCAATCATAACAACAGTTACAGAAAACGTGCCGTCAAATTTAGAAAACGAGCCGTCAAAAGCACAAATAATACCCGATTCAAATGAACAGATGCTTCATCGTGCAGCAGACAGCAGAGAATCTGACACAAAAATAGGAGGTTATTATTATTACTAGTACTACTGTTAATCAATCGCAAGTTTGTTTGGCGTTTATTTTTGTAAATGATATTCAACTCGAGATTATTATAAAAGTTGAGTTCTGGTGTGGAGATTCCCCAAAACTCAAATTTGGCAAAAATACTCTTGCCTTTTTGGCAACGCGGTTTCCATGTTAATGAGAATATACAGTGTGACTGCGACCAAAAATCTCGACGACTAAGCATTTTGTGAAAGACGTATATGAAAGTTTCAAACTTAAAAAAAAAGGGATGAACATTCTAGCGCCATCTATGTGACAGTGGTATAACCAAACAAAGTAGATTTCTACGTTCATTTTTGTGTTCCCCTATCTCAGATCCCTTCTGGACGCCAAAATACAGTTCACGATTGTATCTGCAGCTAGAATACGTTAATCAATGGTCACATACGTTAAAATCGCAACGTTAGTGCACTGTTCGGGCAGTTGATACAGAATAGAAACGATAATAACATAACAAAAAGCAATGACGCTGTGGCTCGAAATCGTGGCCTCCGCGTAAAAACTCTCCATACACGATCATTCCATCATGTCAAAGTTAAGCATAGTGCTGTCTGCCAGGATAACAACTAGCCAAACCTTAAGTATTTTGCCATATTGCAGATATTGCTGTTTAGCATCAAAATAGCTTTTAACATATATCAGTACGCAATACCACTTTGTGGTTGGCTCTTGGACTATCACTGGTCTACAAAAAAAAAAAAAACAGCGATGTATGATCGGACCGCCATTGGTTTGGCGACTGGCGCAAAAAATAACATCATTGAGGCTTGATATTTATAATTATTCATGAACGTGATACTCTCGGGGTTTATACCTTTGATACTTTTGTTCATAAAGAAATAAACATTTTTCATTGGGTTTGGATAAAATTCGCCGAAACCCATTCGACCTTTAAGAGGTGACCTTGATCTTAGACTTTAGTGCATATTCGGACGTAGAATTTATCGGTCTTTCGAGGATAAATCCAAGGTCACCATTGAACTGACTGTTTACAGTTAGTGAAGTGACCTTGACCTTTTTCCAAAACACCTTACCTGGAAAAACCTTTGTTACATCCAGTTTTTGTGGCCATCGCTGAACAATGTTTGGATCTTTTGTATAATTTTTGTTTACAAAAATACGTCGTAGCTGATATTATAGTGTGTTCGAATAACTAATCGACTTCTTGTATATATTTTCAGGTATGGACGATCCGATCCCTCTGAACATTTTCTTCAACCGCGAAAGCGCTCTCACAACTTCGCGTCACACGCACTTCAAGGACAGCGTAGGATCGCGCAGAGAAAACCTACACCAACCAACGACAAAACGAAAAAGCATTTCTTTCGCCAAACACGTTGACGCGCCAGTTCCAACGAATTTTGGCAGCAACGGGGGAAGCGAACTGTCGGTGTTGAACGAGGTTATTATGCTGCAGCATGGTCAGAAGAACTCGATAGATTCGTCGACGCCGAGCGTCGTTGCGGAGAGGTGCGGTCGAATTTTGAGATTTTTGCCGTGGCACTGGAAGTGTTTTAAACGAAAAAAGACGAAGAATACCGAGGGACGGTCGCATTCCATAAGAAGGTCTCTTGTAGATAATGCATCCACGGGGTTGTCTGTTCATGAACATCGTATGAAATCATCAATCTACTAATAAAATATAAAATGTCTCGCTTTTTATTTTACTTCAAACTACGACTTACTGATTAATTAATTTGAGAATAGATAAATTACAGGGTGACAACCGGGAATCGGATGTTTTTAAAACGCATAGTACGAAGGTTGAGGCGATTAGAGTGAGCCAAGTGCAACGTTACTACCCTTATAGTAGCACAGCTTAGGTAACAATCAGCTTTGAAACTCTCCTGTCAGTGTCAAAAACGACGCTTTTGATAACTCCTCAGCTAGGGGTAAGCCGTCGGTCGTTCCGATATTCTATACCTAAAAAAAGTTATGCTAAGTCACATATAAATCCGAACACCCAGTTTAAATGGTTTTATTTTAATAAAATTTTGTATAAGTACTTAATGAAGCATAATAAGTAAATGATAAAAATTTCAAAATGATTGCACTGCTTTAAAGCCCTTTGACCTTTAATAATGTGTGGATGGACCCTGATGTGCTACGCATTCTCCAACGCGCCTAGGCATGCTTCTGATCAGGTGGTCAATGTCCTCCTGTGGTATCTCATTCCAGGCAACCACCAACTCCTCTTGAAGTGCTTCTAGAGTCTGAGGAGGACGTTGCAAATTGAGCAATCTCCTACCCATCATATCCCACACGTGCTCAATTGGGGATAAGTCGGGAGATCTTGGTGGCCATGGTAACAATGTGACATCATTATGTTGAAAGAAGTCTATTGTGACTCTTGCAACATGTGGTCGGGCATTATCTTGCTGGAAAGTTGGATCTGCCAGGGTGTCAAGCTAGGGTAAAAGATGGGGATCTAGAACTTCGTGGATATAACGCTGCGCGTTCATGTTAACTCTGATGAAGATTAAAGGTGACCTGGAACCATAAGCTATAGCACCCCAAACCATAACTCCAACAGTGTGATGAACATGTCTTTCAACAAAAAACTGTGGATTCCTCATTTCACCACGTCGCCTTCTAACCCTGGCACGACCATCGTGCATGCCTAAACAAAATCGAGACTCGTCACTAAAGACAATACTGTTCCATTCCTGATCCCAGAGTGACCGTTGTCTGCACCACTCAAGGCGATTACGTCGGTGTTCTCAAGTTAAAGGGAGGACCCAGTGGGGCCGGTATGAAAACAAGCCAAAACTTCTCATTCGTCGGTAAACACTTCGCATGCCAATAGGTCTTCCGTGTTCTGCAAACCATTCATTTGCAATGGACCTGGCAGTGGAGAAACGGTCCCTTAAGGCCAATAATCTTAGGCGGCGATCTTCACGGTCTGTTGTTCTACGGCGGCGTCCAGTGCCCCTTGCTCTTTGCGTATGGCCTTCTCGAAGCCATGCCTGACAACACCTAACCACAGTGTCTACACTTCTTTGCACTCTGCAATTGCCCGAAAGGAAAGTCCAGCTTCCCGAAGTCCCACTATACGGCCCCTATCAAACTCACTAAGTTGACGAAATCGTACAGGTCTCCGTACTCTAGGCATCGTAACTGATCGTAAAGGATGTCAAGAACCAAAATCCGCCAACGTTGATTCTTTACTGCGGCTGAAATATTCATTTTTAGAGCGTTAGTGAATTAAAAAAAGCAGTATAAAAACCGGAATGTCCAACTGATACGGCTGAAAATTTTTTCACTTGTTATTTACAGTAAGATAAATACATTCACCAACTTTTATTAAAATAAAACCATTTAAACTGGGTGTTCGGATTTATATGTCACTTAGTATAGTTATAAAAATTATAGGCAACTGTAGTACGTATACTTTACTTGGAAAATATACCGCTCTCCAGACGGTGATTCATAATTAGATGAAAACACAAGCATACATTTTTTAAATGGAATATCCATACCCTTTCCTTATTCTTCGCTCATTCTAAACAAAAACAATACACATGCCAAAAATCAGAGTGGTCAACTTTAGAGAAAATCCATACAAGTCCTCTTTTGTTCAGAATGAACGAAGAATAAAGGAATATTCGCGCAAAAAGGTTTTACTGATGAATAATTTTTCTTAAAACTTTCATTCAATAGTGTTTACATTGAAAATGCAATGGATCAGAATATCGCAGCAGCAACGAATACATGGCAAAAGTAAATATTTTTCCGTTTATTGTAAATACTTCCGCTATTACAAATTTATTTTGAAGATTTTGCATGAATAAATAGTCATCAACACCACGTCACCTCTTTTTGAACAAACATACTCCTTTTTATTATTGTTTCACATAAACTACACTAAAACATACCAAAATATCATTTCAAGATTGCAAAGAATATTTGCGATCGCTGGTATGGTACGTGACAACACCGGCTGCTGCTGAGCACCAAAACCTCTTTCATCGTTGTAATAGGGAATTTACATACGATTTTCTCCGCCGAAAAGTCGGTCGTTTTTCAAACTGACAGGAGAGTTTCATAGTTGATTGTTATCTAAGCTGTGGTAGAAGTGTGCCATTTCAGTAAAGATGGGGACGACAGAACATCGCGTATTTGCATACGGCACGTTTATCAGAAATAAAGAGTCTAAGAATCCAAGAACAGCAGGTAATCTAATGAAAAAAAGCAACCAAGTCGAAAAAAAAACGGTAAGAACTCCTGAAGCGGTCGCCAGAAGTCCTACACGGTCCGCCCAAAAACATGCAATTGAACTGAACATGAATCGGGAATCGTTTAGAAAAAATTTGTTTGAGGACTTAAAAGTTCATCTCTACAATTTACAAGTTGTCCAGCAATTAAAGGATTTTAAAAAGCGTAAGGATTTCGCTACGAGAATGCAAGTTATTTTGGAGGACAACTAAAGGCCGTATCGTCAGCAGCTCCTACAGTTGTAGGACGTCTTTATGGCTTCCTTGATTTTCATAGTATTTTTTCTCCTTCAAAAAGGCTGGGTTATTTCTAGATTTCTACTGTTCCGTGACAGCGGCCCTGTTTTCTTTTTAAATTGTAGGGAATTTCAGGCTGATGTAAATCAAAAGCATGAACAATTTGACGCAAATAGATATTATGTCTTCTTTGATTTTCATAGTTCCGTGTCAGCGCTCTATTCTGAGGTTATGTCACAAACATCTATTTGCATCAAATTGTTCATGCTTTTGATTTATATCATCTGTTTTATCGGCGTGAAATTTCCTGCAATTCAAAAAGAAAACATAGCTTCATAATAGGAGAGCGCTAACACTGACACGGAACAGTAGAAATATAGAAATACCCCAGCCTGTCTGAAGGAGAGAAAAGATTATGAAAATCAAGGATGCCATAAAGGCATCCTACAGTTGTAGGAACGACTGACGATAAAGCACTTGTTTATTTTGAAGAGGCCGGCCGTACCGTTAATTCTGATCACTACGTTCAGATGATCCAAATTTTTTTGATGCCAGAACTACGCAGTAGTTGTGTAGTTTGAGCACATACAGCCAACACATCAATGAATGTATTAAAAATTACAAACAACTTTTATAGGTCACATCAAACAATTACGAACGCTGACAATGTAACAGCGTACACTCTGTAATAATTCACGAATGCAGCCCCTGTGGATACAGGTCAAGGAAAATCAGTTGTCAATTGATGGCAGCTCAATACATACGAAAATCCATCTTCACCAAAAACGCATCCATAATATGCCCACCGCCGAGGTAGAATCAGAAATATGCAGGTAGGATCTTAACGTATAGATAACAATAAAAACAACAATGACAATGAACAGTTATTATAAGTTTACATTCTCCTTTGAATAAAACTGACCTTTTTTTCCACATCCACAGGTTAAGTTTGAGTTACTTTAAAAATGTTTTGGAAATCCCAATTTACTACCACGATTCAATGCATACATGGTGCTCCCTGTCATTGCAAGATCTACAGAAATAATTTTACAACTGAAATATGAAACGCACAAATGACTTTCTTAACAACCTAAAGCAGAAATTTTCTTATTTTTACGAATAACTCCTGATTTTTTCAAACAACTACTCCTTAAACACATAATAACCACCTTTGCGAAAATTTTGTACCACTGACCAGACAAATCAGCGTCTATAAGCGGTTTTTGACCTTGAACATAACTCAAATTTCAAGTTGAAAACAACTATGAAATTTTTGCATTCAAGTGTTTTAGAACATACGTAAAAAAACAAAGACTCATCAGGCTTGCACCTTTCATGTGGCGCGTGTTAGCAGCCGTTTCGGTAAAGCAGCAGATGGGAACTGTTGATGCCATTACTTTGGAAACATTGCTTTAGCTCACTAGGCCAAGAAATAGTGAGATTTTGAATAAGGGAATCAAACAACTTGGACGACAGTAATTTTTTTGGTAATATCGTTAGACTATGGCTTAATAATAATAAGTTCAAAATGAAGTCATGATTGGGCAGTAGCATTTGCCGCCATGTTGATAAGCCCGTTTGATCAAAAGGCTCCAAAACCATCAATCTTATGTAAAAGGAGTATTAGAAACAATTTTGTAGGTGATTAAAGTTTTTGTTATTTCGCATAGTCAGATTACGAGAAATTTAAGGAAAAGGTGCATTTAATTATATGTCTGCTTATAATGGCTAAACTAAATATCTAAGAGAAAAGTACGCTACTGTTTTTTGAAGAAAATAAAATGTGACACAAAAAATGTCTTTTGTTTTTCCGATACCTTGATGGTTCGTGAAGGATAAGGACGGAAAGATGAAAATTTGTTGTCCGCGTTATCTGCATACAACATTATTATGATCAAAACTACCGTTTTCAAGTGACTCCATTTTTCACAGCCACAAGTGATAAAATAAGTGATCTAAGAAAGTGACCCGCTAATTAAGTTGCTCAGTTTATTTTAAGTTTCCACCAATATTTGTCTGCTTATTTTATATTAATTGTTTTCTTAAATCCCACGTTCGCATTTTTTAAATCTTTGTCCAATTTTCACTCATTTTCGAATACCTAGATTTTTATATGTACGCATAGTCGCAATTATACCTATTTCAAATGTATAGTCAACGCCAAACAAAGTGGCGTGCACGTCATCAAGGTGGGTGTGTTGAAAAATTTACATTGTTGCCAAACTTTTTGTAAAATAATAAAATTTATTATTTACATATCTAGGTTTATAAGCAATATTAACCTCAAATGAGAACAAAAATAATAGTATAATAAAATTATAGATCTGTACTTGCATAATCATTAAGTATGACAATTATTGATCAGATGACACTATGAAACTACCATATTTAATTGATAGCTTAAAGGTACTGAATAAAAATCCAAATGGGGTCCTCCAAATTTTATGCATGGTATTTATTTTACAGAATTCA